TTTATCTTCTGAAGCCAAACCAGTTAGGAGTGGGAGATTGGGAAGGTGGAGGAGAGAGGTACACCATGAGTATCAGTCTGACAGGGTTGGACAGTAATACTGGTACAGAGAAAACAGTCTAGCAGACAGTGGGTGGGTTATGTGCATAAAGGACAGTCCAGCCCTCTTGAGTCCTGCCACTGTCTCTGAAGGGTTTGGTGGTAATAATGAGCCCTGGGAAAGGAACATACATGGCGGATCATGCCTTCCCTCTGTCCCCTGTTAGAGACCTGGTACAAAGCTTCGGTTACCTTACCCTTGTTATGGCTCTGATCTCTTACAAGACATTTAATGACTCTGGGCCTCCGTTTTTTCATATGTTAAGAATGGGGAAGAATAATACTCGCACTGCCTACCTCACAGGGCTTATGTAGGGAAAATGTTTTGTAAACTTTATAACTATATAAATGCCAGTTATTAATTATCTATAAAATAAGGGTGTTAGACTAGATCAGAGGTGTCAAATATGTTGCCCATAACTCTACCAGGTGCAGTTCCAGTCAGATAAAAATGTGATTAGGAATATTTAACAAAATAAATAAAAATATAATAAAACATAGATTACATTTTAAAATTAAGTTATGGGGTCTTTGTGTATGGATTAGTTTGACACCACTGGACTCAATCTCCAAAGTATCTTCTAGCTCTCAATCCTGTAACCCTAAAATCTGGTCTGGGTCCTTGTCTTCATATACATAAGTGACTAGCCATTCTGAACTTTTGAGTTTTTTTGTTTTTGTTAGGGAAAAGGTGGAAGCATGTTGATTTTGTTATTATTGTCAAAAACTGGGGTGTTCTAATAGGCTAGAAAAAAATTTTTTTTTTGCTCTTTTTTAGTGAGGCAGTTGGGCTTAAGTGACTTGCCCAGGGTCACACAGCTAGCAAATGTCAAGTGTCTGAGGCCAGATTTGAACTCAGGTCCTCCTGACTCTAGGGGCAGAGTTCTATCCACTGAGCCACCTAGCTGCCCCAAGGCTAGAAATTTTTGAGAAAGTAGCCAAGTGCCTCTGGATAGAAATCAAGGCATGAGACCAGGCTAAGTGGGACATGAAGTTAAGGCATCCCTTGAAGAGGGCTCAAATGCCGTCCTCCCAGTTCACTATACAACAAAGAGGAAGATGTCTCCATTTCCTTCTCCTCTCCAGACCACACAGACTGACATCATTCCTGTTTTCTTAGAATCTTAGGGTAGCTAGGTTTTGGTACAGTGTGATTCTGTACAACAGAATGACACCAGGGTACTTTAAGCCACTCCAGGTGTTGACTCACATTGCTGAAACATGACACCCCTGGAAGACTGATGATTTTCAAAGCTAAATCATTCTCACATTTTCTTTTTGTTGCCCGCTTGGTAAATCATGCTTAGGTTGCTTTTCTTTGGACACCTGACCAAACTTAGGATAACAGAACTCTTATCTTTTAGTTTTCCCTCGATAAAAATAATACCTGGTGATTTGTTTTTGTGTGGTCTTGTGATTTAATCTCCATAAGGAAACTCTCTTCACTGATGCAGACCAATTCATGTGGACCTTTTAAAGAGTTAGGAGGGGCACTGAGAAGATGTAATTACGGTAAAACAACTAATAACAGAGGCAAGACGAGCTCAGGTCTTCCTGGTTCTGTTGGCTCTGATAAACTATTATAATTGTTTTTGTTTCTTAAGTTGCATTCACATTCCTGTGAGGTGAGTAGGGCAGGTATTTTGCTATTGTCTAAAGAGCCTTGTTTTGCAATGGCTAAATCATTGCCTGGAGAAGCAAATGGAGTTGGGGGAATAGAGAGTCATTGATGCTTCACTATTAGCATTTTTTTTTTATCTTCATTTATTATCACTTCTCTGCTCTTTTCTCTACCTACAGAATCCCTACAAATCTTTGCCCATTTTTGGTCTCTTACCTTGAAACATCCCCTTCCAGTCCTTTTCAAGCCTGCCCTTTCATTTACAGCAGCTGGAATGTGGGGAAACCCAGGATGTTGCAGACGATTCACAACTGAGGGTAACTCCTCTGTATAGATATACAGAACATTCCCATGTATCTTATTAATAGCAATTGAAGGCCCACAAGCAAAAGTTCCAAGGGCAATTCCTCCAAGAAGCTTGTTCAAGGAAACAGACTGGAAAACAACTAGGTGAGAGGTAAAATTGTCTTAGGGTGGGACCAGGTAAAAAAGTCTTACATCATGACTGTAGCTTCTACTTCTCCCTCCCCTGAACACCATATCCACTCCCTTTCATGTTAGCCTACATTAGCTAGGAAAATGTCTAAGAGGAGGAGTTTAGTTTAACTGGGTTAACTAGGCATTAATATTAATGGACTTTTGGGTCCTACTCTTCCTTGTTTGAGATACTGCAATGTCCAACCAATGTCAGCTCAATAGTTGATAGATATTCACGCTACATACCTGTCCCAAATTCTGTCATTCACCATTGCTGCATAAAGAAACACCATATTTGATTGTCTTTTTTTTTTTCTTGGTCAGGCAATGGGGTTAAGTGACTTGCGCAGGGTCACACAGCTAGTGAGTGTTATGTGTCTGAGGCCACATTTGAACTCAGGGCCTCCTGATTCCAGGGCCAGTGCACCATCCACTGTGCCACCTAGCTGCCCTGAAATACCATATTTGGGCATTCTTGCCCCATACTCTTCTGTTGCCCTCCACAGAATTCCTAGAAAATCAACAAGTATTTAGTAATTCCCTACTATGTGCCAGATAACTGTGTTAATTACTAGGGATACAAGAATGAAACAATCCCTGCTCTCCAGGAACTTACTTATAATGGGGGAGAAAACAAATAACTAAAAATACAGCATAATTACAGGTTCTCCCGAAAGTACACCCTGTATAAAGTGAATAAATACAAATACAAAGTAGTTAAATTCAAGATAGTTTGAGAGGGAGGGAGTTGAGAGGATCAGGAAAGGCTTCCAAATCAGTGTAAGATGGCTAGGACTATTGGAGTTGTAAATTATGTTGGCTCACATAGGAGCCGAGAGGTCACATGTGCCTTAAAAGTAGTCTGCCAAGGCAGGCAGCGTGCTGCAGTGGGAAAGGTGAAGCTGAGCTTTTGCACTTGCGTAGAATATGCAGACAGTGAAAAAGTTAGCAGATTGATGAAAAATTAACTTCAGCTGACTAGAAGGGATGGGATCTCAAGAGCTAGCCAGGGAATGGTGAAGAGGTGGTTAGGATTCTCGGCAGTTATGGGGACAGAGACCAAAGCTTCTTTGCTCTATACCTGTCTCCTGTCTCTTAAAAAAAAAAAATCTCCTTCATCCCTACCCCGTCCTCTCTTCAGGCCGTCACCTTTCTTCCAAAGGGACCAACCTTTACTGTCATGACATTTCTGACCCCCTCCGTCCCTAATCAAGGTTGAGTAAGGAGCCCTGGTGTTACTTTCTCTCCTTCAGGATATGTGACAAGGAACCTCCCCAAGGCCTATTCTGATGGAATAGAGAGTGTGGGGCTTTAGATCTCATAGGCTGAACCAGATCACCTCTGGGGTCCCTTCCAAAGGCACTGAAGCAACAAGTTCACCCTCCCACTCAGCTGAATTTCTCTTCGTTATTTCTAGTATTTCCACGTCATTACAAAGGTGATTTTAGGGTACATTCCATTCCACTTGTCCCAGATAGTAGTGTGCCCCATGAACTGATTTTGGAATCAAAAGACCGGGGTTTGAATCCTGATACCACTATTACTACCATTTACTACTTTGACAAGTCCCTTAAACCTCTTTGGGCCTCAGTTTCCTCATTCATAAAGGGGAAGCTGGACTAGGTAAACTCTAAGCATTCTCTCAATCTATAGTCCTAGGATTCCAACTCTTCCTTCTGACCTGCAAGGTAGGACGGGGAAGTTACGGCTGCTGGCAGCTTTTGAGCAAAGCCTGAGGGGAAATTCTATCTTTGAATGTATGTCAGCTGTCAATTTGAGGCCACCTATGGCTCTTTCAGATATCAGGAGGTGGTAAGGGTATAATCACAGAAACCTATGTGCCTATGCGCTGATGAAAATCAGCATGCGGGCCATCTTTGGCACCTAAGTAAACCATAAGTTGCTAACCTCTAGGTCTGCCATGACTTATGGCATTGGCAGGTTTATTGATAATGCCACACACACACACACAAATGCACCAATGGCTAGTTAAAATGTGGTGCTAGGTGGCACAGTAGGTAGAGCACCAACCCTGAAGTCAGGAGGACCTCAGTTCAAATCCAGCCTCAGACCAAGCGCTTGACACTACCTGTGTGACCCTGGGCAAGTCACTTAACCCCAATTGCCTAAAAAAAAATAAAGTAAAATGTGGTGCTAACAAGGCCATGGTCAGGGTTTAATTTTGTGTGTGGTTTTGGCTTTGTTCTTTTTTCCCTGGCTATTCCTTAACCAGAGTTGTAACTAGAAATTCTTTTACCTGGGACAAAAGCAATTCAGGGAGTTGTGTGAGGTGGGGGAGGAATGCTAAAGGTAGAGTCACATAAAGGATGGTCTGACCAGGGGAATTGGGGGTGGCAGTGACAGCTCAGGCAACAGTTTGCCCATCAGACCAGTTGTACTGGGAGAGGAGACAGGAAATACTGTCTATGCCCCCTTTGGGATAGCTCCAGACAAGGAACACGCTGGTGACAGAACCTGGTGAGGAAGCAAGGTTGCACAAGCCAGCCAAAGCCCTTGAGGTGTGAGATAGTGGGGTGGGGGTCTCTGGAGGAGAAGGAGAAAGAGAGAAGAGAGAAGGAAGAGGATCTTCTCCTTAGCCACAAAATGTTGGTGCTCTGAAGTAAAGCCCTGATTATCCTACCCAAGTTACGATTATTGTTTATAAAAGGGACAGGACAGCCCAGGTGCATCTGTCCTTCCTACTGAAGACACTTGTTAATGCCTGAATCCTCCAGACAGCAGCACAGATGGCTGGTTATTCTTATTAATACTTGCTCTATCTAGGTACATGGCAGGACACTTACCTTGCGTGTTATGCGTGTTATGATGCCAAGCCAGAATACAGTGTTTCTGTGTGGGTATCAATTCCCACTGAGCCATGGTGACACACCTGAGGAGCCCAGAAGTGCTGATTATGCAAAATGGTATGCCAGAGGCTGTTAAGATGCCATCGGCCTCAAGTTCTCCCCAGAAAGAGGTTACTTCTCCTTTCCTATACTCCGCCCTCCCCGTTTCTCCCTCCCAGAACTCTGATGGACCAATCAGAAGAAATATCATCAAGAAATGTCTTGGCCGTAGGCCCGTCAGGAAGTGCTTCACAGCAGAAGTTTTCCCAGCTGACTCTCCCCTCCCTCAAGTTCCTGCGTAGCCAGTAGGGTTTCCTATCAAGTTCTCAGGACCAAGGAAATGAGCTGGCTTCAGCACATGGAAGACGGAGTTAGAGCCAAGCTGGGAGCTCCAAGAGCAAACTGAGAGGTATGAGGGCTTTGATATCCTAAGGGAGAGTATGGGAGAGTGTGGATAAGTGGGGGAAGTGGAGGAGGGATGTTTGGCCGGAAGGAATTAACTCAAAGCAAGGAAGGGTCACTAACCTCTCCCTGAGTAGTCTCATAGTATAGATGGCCACTTATGGATAGGCAGTTTGGCATAGTGGAAAAAGCAATGCCTCTCAAGCCAGAGGAATGGAGTTCAAATCCTGCTTCTGAAACTTTCTACCTGTGTGACTTTGGCCATGTCTCTTGGTCCTCAGTTTCCTCATATGTAATATGGGGTTGGACTAGATGATTTCTGAAATCCCTTCTACCTCTAAGGCTCTCTCTAGGATCCTATGATATTTAAATTGTTTCATTCTGGCTGCTTACAGTATTTATTCCTTGACCTAATAATTCCGGAATTTGGCTACAATATTCCTTAGTGTTTTGATTTTGGGATCTCTTTCAGGAGGTGATCGGTGGATTCTTTCAATGACTATTTTACCCTCTGGTTCTAGGACATTGGGGCAGTTTTCCTTGATAATTTCTTGAAAGATGCTGTCCAGGCTCTTTTTTTTTTTATTGTGACTTTCAATAATTCTTAAATTATCTCTCCTGGATCTATTTTCCTGGTCAGTCATTTTTCCAATGAGATATTTTACATTGTCCTCTATTTTTTCATTCTTCTGATTTTGTTTGGCGATTCTTGATGTCTCAGAGTCGTTAGCTTTCACTTGCTCAATTATAATTTTTAACCAATTGTTTTCTTCAGTTAGCTTTTACACCTCCTTTTCCATTTGACCAGTTCTACTTTTTAAGGAATTCTTTTCCTCAGTGTATTTTTGTACCTCCTTTTCCATTCAGCCAATTGTACTTTTTAAGAAGTCATTTTCTTCAATCAATTTTTGTCCTTCCTTTTCCAAGCAGTTGACCCTATGTGTCATGTCCCCAGGGAACCAGCCAAGCTAGTCATTCCCAGGCAGGACCCATATCTTCTGCTTACTCCTCTCACACCTGATTAGAATGCTGGATTTCAGATGTTCAATATCTTCTTGGTACCTTGAATCAAATGAAATGTCACAAAGTTGAGTGTAATGCATTTGGATTTTAGTCCATCAAGAAGAATGAGAAGGTTCATCTAGCAAGTCCCTTTGACAGAAAGAGCTAGAAAGTTCTCTGTGCTTGTTTCTCATTGATTGTAAGAATCATATCTCATTTTTGACTGAAGTCCCATATGAAAAGGAAGCATAGGTGAAAATTAAGAAACTAAGATAGAGGCCATTTGCAGATTCAGTCAGCCAAAGCTGCCTGGGGAGGGTTTTCAAGGGTAAATAGATAACTTGAGCCAAAAATCTGCTCTGGAGGCCAGCAGGTTGATGCACACAAAAGCCAAGGTTTCACCTGGGTTAAGCAAAGTCACTGGTTCACAATGTCAGGCACTGTGCTAAGCACTGGGGACAGAAAAAGAGGCAAAAGGCAATCCCTGCTCTGAGGGAGCTTAAAATCTAATGAAAGTCTCTGTTTTTACAGTCTATAGCCTTTGCAAAGATTCTCCTCTTGAGTCACTCAGCTGGTGAAGATCTTCAACTTCCCTGGTGAGTGGAGAAGAATTTACACAGCTTGTAATAATAACAGAAATAGCATTCTAAAAATGATGATGAATTTATGAAAACAATCTCAGTACTGGAAAATTGCTCATGAAACATACCTTCCTCTCAAGTAAAGGGGTAAGGAGACCATAGATGAGGGATGTGATAATGCCATGAAATGAGATACTTTGCTTGTTGACTCTGCTGAAATGTTAGCGTTATTGGTTGGGGGTGGGCAGGGAAGAGACAGATTAAGAAAAAATAATTGTGGTATAAAAACAAAAGGTAACAATTTTAAAAAATAATAATTTTCACAAAACTGCCCACAATTGCAACAAAGTCTGCTACTACATAGTTTGGGGTAAGTGATTAAGTTAGTATTTTCACTGGATTCTATAAAGGTAAAGTTCAGAACAGGAAAAAGTCACCAGAACCATAGACTATTACAGCTGGAATTAGAATCTTAGAGATAATCTAATCCAATGAATCACCTTATTTTATAGATGAGAGCACAATGGCCCTGTGAGGTTACGTGACTTGGCCATAGCTCTTAAGTGGCAGAACCAGAACATGATCCCAGGTCTTCTGGAGTTGAGTCCAGTTTCCCTTCTAATACACTGTGCTATCTCTTTAACAGACCAGCAGGGTGGACATGCCATGTGCTTCTGAAGTCTTTTTTTTTTTTTAGAGAGAAATTAGGCTAGCTCTATAAAAAAGCAGATTAGGGGAAATGAGTGTCTGAATATCTATATTTAATACTCATCCAGCACACTTTCTTTCTGCTGAAGGGCCAGTCTTAATGACCTGACTTCTTGGGTAACAGGGACCATAAAAAGAAATATTTCATCACTCCATAGCCAGGCAACAAGAATGGAAAAATGCAATGGAAAAGAATTAGAGGAAGTGAGTTTGCTGTAAATCAGAGACCAGAGATAGCAGGGTCACTGCCTCACTCATGAGGAAGTTGCCTGGTGCAGCTAATTTGCTTTATCAGCTGTAAATAGTGGGAAGGTTGCTTTCAAAATGTGGAAGGCTCCCCAGTTCCCACAGGACAACAGGTTTGGCAAAGAGAAATCAATCTGGCTAGTATTTATCCATGCACCTACCACATGCCCAATGCTTAAGATCTTGTTGGGGAGACATTTAAAGTGAATGGAACAGTGCAAAACAGATTGTGTGGCATAGAGAATACGAGCCCCAGGGAGTACAGGGAAGCCTGAGGTCAGTGAGGTTGGAGAAGGCTTCTTTGCTCAGCCCTCACATAGTGCTTCCTCAACACGAAATCACGGAAGATTGTGTTTTCTAAGCATGTGTTTGTGTCATCCTTGGACTGGAGATGTCCCTACTGGACTGTGAACTAGAATCAGGGATCATGTTAATTTTTGTGTCTCCCCCAGCACCTAGCAAACTGTTTCAGATACACACAAAGCTGTAACTAGTGGGACGAAGGGTCACTAGTACAGGAAAAGATGTTTTCTTATTGCAGGGTGCTAACATCCAAGGGCACATCCTTCTTCCCCTTGGGGAGAGGGGGGTAGACTGCCAGTCCTAAGGATCCTATTAAGGATCACCCCAGGGAAGAAACCCATCTTGGTTGGATGTTGGTACTCTGAAAGAAGTACATCCACCCCTCCAAGCCCCAAACCCTCCACCCCAAGAGACCTGTTGCTATCATCTTCCTCTTCTAGTCCATTCCCCCTCTCCCCACCAAGTCGGTATCATTATACCCAGCTGGGGCAGATAGCTCCCAAACTACCTGGACTGGGGGACTCGTGTCATAGGTAATGACCAGCATCAGTGGTGGAACAAGTTGCAATGATGACCCCACAAGGTCTTGTGCTGTCCAGTTAATTAATCAATAAACATTTATTACACACTACTGTGTGCCATGCAACATGCTAAACACTCAGGAAACAAGAGGCAAAAGATAGTCCTTGCCCTCAAGGAGCTTACAATCTAATGGAAGTCTCTCTCTCTCTCTCCCTTGCTCTGCCCCCAATCCTTACAATAAAATTTGCCTGAGATGTTGGAATTCCCAGTTACAGCTCTGTACTCAGTAGATGCTTATTCTTTTTTTAATATTTAATTAAATGAGTTGGAATGCAACCTAACTAATCAGTAGAACTAGGCTGAGCAAAGGGAAATCAGAGTGGGCATTCCAGGCAGCAAGCCCTTCTGCCTTACAGAAGGCACCTCTCTTTGAATCTTTTCCCTAAACAGCCCCTGACACATCTGGAATCTCCACCCCACACCTGACTGTGCAGGTAGCTCTTACTGAGTCTGGGACACACTCTGGCTTAAACAAAGACTTGCCTGAGAGCAATGTCAACTCCTAGCTTGGGATCATCTAAAGGTGATAGCTTGGTTCTTTTTTTATCTGGAGTCTGGAATCAGTAACTAAGTAAATGGGTCAGATTTTGTAATTCAGCAGGAAACCAAAGTTTATCAAGGATTATAGGGCTGGAAGGGACCTCAGAGGCCATTTTATAGATGAGGAAACTGAGGTCCAGGGTCACACAGATACTAAACATCAGGGGCAAGTTGAACCCAGGGCTTCAGACTCCAGAATTAATACTCTCTCCACCACCCCAGAGGAGTTTGCGAGAAGATGGTGGTCATGGTGGTTTGATTGGTGTTCTCCTACTGGGCATCTGCTTTTAAATATGCTTGCATGTCCCCGCTGGGTCTCAGTCCAGCAGGTGCGTGCAGACAGGTGTAAATTAAAGAGGAGCCTAGGAGGTAGAACCTGAGTATGTGTTTGCAGAGAGGGGGAGCGTAAGGGGGAGTAGTTATGAAGGTTAAATGAAGAAAACGTACAAGGTCGTGGTGCCCACATGTCCATCCGAATACGGGATTATAAATTCAATGCTAGGAGAGAATTTGAGGTCCAGTAATGTTAACTGGTCCCGTAATGTTAAACTCAAATAGAAACAGGGACCACCAAACTGTACATAAGGATCTCCACAGGTGAAAATTGACTTAGAAAACCATATATTAACATTATTTATGTTCTCTTGTATTTGTATTTATTTTGTTAAATATTTCTGAGGTACTTTTTAATCTGGTTTGGCAGCACTTGGAAATGTTACCAGCCCCATTGTGGCCTCTGATTTAATGGAACCCCTTCATTTTATAGGTGATGAAAGGTTAAGAAACTTTCCCAAGATTACAGAGGTAGAAAATAATAGGACCACAATTTGAAGTTGTTTCTCTTTTCTCTCTTACCTCATCTCAAGAAAGCACATTAAGACTGTTGCATGGCTTAATCAATCAGTCCATAAGTATGCATAAAGTGTAGACTAACTGCTGGGCCTGAGTTCAAATCCAGCCTCAGACACTTACTAGCTGTGTGACCCTGGGTAAGTCATTTAACCCTGTTGGCCTCAGTTCCTCATCTGTAAAATGAGCTGGAGAAGGAAATGGCAAACCGCTCTAGTATCTCTGCCAAGAAAACTTCAAATGGAGTTACAGAGAGTCCGACATGACTGAAATGACTAAACAACAAAAATGTGCCAAGCACTGTGCTAGGCTAGGAAATTATTCTGGAGTTTACATTCTGTGGAGGAGACAACATGTACATTTATACAAAATGAATACTAGGTGATTCTGTTGGGGGATGCCATCCCATCCAGTAGCTGAGAAGATTGTGAAGGGCTCTGCATAGAACTAAGTTTCACAGGAAAAAGGGATCCCAAGAGGCAGAGGTAAAGAAAGAGGGAATTCTAGGCATGGGGAACAGTCAGTGCAAAAGTGTGGAGCCAGTTTGGCTCACCAGGGGTGGAGAGCCTGCAGCCTTGAGGCCACATGTGGCCCTCTAGGTCCTCAAGTGCAGTCCTTTGAATCCAAACTTCACAGAACAAATCTCCTTAATAAAAGGATTTGTTCTATAAAACTTGGACTCAGTCAAAAGGCCACACCCAAAGACCTAGAAGGCCACATGTGGCCTTGAGGCTGCAGGTTCCCCACCCCTGGGCTAGACTATAGTGTGTATGAAGGGGAGTCTGGAGTAAGCTTGGAAAGTGAGGTTGGAGCCACATTGTGAAGAGCTTTAACTATCACACAGATGATTCTCCATTTTATCCTAAAGCCAGTAAGGATCCACTGAAGCTTATTGAGCAGGGAAATGACATGGCCAACCCTGAGCTTTAGCAAAATCATGTTTTCCATATCCCTGTGGATTCCTCAAGAGACCAGTGCCATTCCTATATCAGGACCAAGGACTATTCTTACTGAGCTGGAACCAATTCTTGTTCTGTAGGAACCCAAGAGGCAGGACTGGTCAAGAACAGGCCTGGGGTAACCAGCCTTCTCCCTTCCTGCCAAAATTCAGCCTCCAAGGCCCACACCCGCAAACCAGGAGAGGCCCTCTTCCACCATTCCGAGGCTGATCTGATTCCATGTGACCACAAGGGGTAAGGCCCTCCAGGAATTGCTCTCCCCAATTGCACAATTTTCTGAAGACGGAGACTCCCTGAGTCTCACAATAAGTCACACTCTCAGGAAGCTCTTCCTTCTATCTACCCTGAATCCTTCCATCAGTCATTTAGTCCTCTACAATGCTTTACCACTTCCTGTATTGCAACCTTTTACACCCACCTCAGGACAGGGGAAGAAGAAGAGGAAGAGTAGGTATTCCAGAGAACTTAGAGGGGCAGTGGAAAGACATTAATCCCTTAGACTAGCCAGGCCCAGAAAGCATGCATGTTGCTTGGTCTCTTTACTAGCAAGAACATATAAGGGGATGGCACCATAGAAATGTGAAGTATTCTATTGAGACCAAAGCTGCAGCCTTGGGTATTAGTGACTATCCTTGCTAGATCTGGCGAATGCTAGGGTAAAAGCAACTTTAAAGGGCTATGTATGCATGTGTGCTATTGTTATTATTGTAATGGGGAGCCCTAGGAGCATGGTGGAGGAGAGAGGGTGGGAGAACAGCACAGCAGTTTGTCCTCCTCACCTAAATGCAGCTAAGGTGGAAAAATGCAAAACGTCTAGTTGCTGGAACCTTTTATAGACACACATATCCAGTTCCAGCACAGCAGCCAACCACACAATCCATCTTTTTTTTTTTTTTGGCCACACAATAATTGGTCAGGAAGCAGTCCTAGAATAGCAGCATATGCTTAAAAGTGAAGAACTGGACCCCTCTATTATGTATTATCAAGTACTTCCAGAAGTAATCTCACCGTTGGCATGCACCCAGGATTGACCCCTTGTTGACCAGTCCTGTTAGATTATTCTAAGTTGTCAGAGGAAAGGGTATCCTCCCCATAAATCAGTCTTTGACTATTAAAATTCTGTGACAATTGGTTTTCTTCATGCCCTCCCATCTTCTGACTTCAAATTCTGCACTCACTAGCATTGTTCACCAAAGAAGTTCCCTTTGTTTTTCTCACCCCTGCTCCCAAAGTGCTAAGGGGGCAGAGTGTTCCCATTGCCCTCTGGGGAAACCTTTCCCCAACCACTTTTCTCTCCAACTCTGGATTCTGGCTAATCTAATCACATTCCCCAACTGTGTGTTAGACAATTAGATCAGCGGTTTCCTCTAATTCCTTTCCCCAAAGGCTTGGATGAGGAAGAAACGGCAAGGACAGATACCTGGGAGACTAGTCAAAGCCCTGTGTGGATAGACTGAAGGTGAGGGAGAAACTTATTTGACATGTAAAAGAACTGGCAAGCCAAGAGACCGAAATTGGCAGGTATATATGACACAAAGTCCAATGGGAAGAATCAGATGTCCTGGCCAGACAATGAATGTCCCCCATGCATATCCACTCTTCCCACTAATGGTAAGATATTTTTAGGAGATTAAACCACAAAGTTTCCAGAGAAGGAATCTCCTCTTCTCTTCCTCTTCCCCTTTCTCTTCTTCTTCTTTTCTTCTATTTCGTTAGCCATCTTTACTTTCAACTAATTGTGTCTTCTGGTAGAGACTCCTAGGCTATGATCATGAGTGAATATGGAACAATGGAATTCCTTGAACCGGAGATTGCTTTTCTGGGGGTCCATTATGAAAGGGTATGTCCCAATGCTATACTCACATTGCCTCTTTGGGCTGGGAAAGCACAGAAGCATCCAGACCCTTCCATTTTACCCACTTTAAAAACATTTTTTATCAACCCTCCTCCTCCTCCCAACTCTGAAACTGATCCTCTAAAGCAGCTTTCAGAGAGACAGGATAGTCCTACAGTCCTCTGCTTGGTCAGACCAAGAGTGAGATTTTTGCATTTAGTCCTATGCTCTACATTTTAAGAAGCCCACTGGCAAATTGGAGAGAATCCAGAGTAGGGTTAGAGGATCACCATGCCGTGCAAGATTTGGTTGAATTCTATTTAGCAAACATTTATTAAGTGCCTACTGTATGCAAGGCATTGTGTGGGGTACTGGTAGTACCCTCAAGGTGGTACATTCTACTTGCAGCATACAAGATGCTGAGGACATTTAGCAGAGAAGAAAAATCTTAGGACAGACAAAATCACTGCATTCAAGAATCTAAAGGAAGTCATAAAATAGGTATTATGGCATTGTCCTGCTTGACTAGGAGAAGGAACAATGAACGGAAATTTCAGCAACTTGAAGAGTGGGGTTATCTTTTCTCAGAGTTAGAGAACAGGACATGGATGATGATCCAGCAAAGGAGACTGAGAAGTGTTAGACAGGTAAGAGGAGAGACCAGCATCATGAAAGGGCACAGAGGAGGCCCAACTCTCCCACACATACCCTAGCAATGATCCAAAAAGGGCACCATATCAAAAATTACCAACTCAAAGAGAGGCATTAGTGATCTTCTTATCTATGACCCATGATTGGGGTGCTTTGAGAAGAGCATAGAAACATAGAGGAAAAGGAAAGGAAAGTGAGCATTACGTGAAGCTCACTTTCATCTGAACTGGACAAAGGAGGATTGAAAACACATACATGGGCATGTGTACATAAAGTATTATGTAAACACAAGCTAATATGATGCTTCAGGTGCTCCAAAGAAATAAACAAAGAAACTACATTATGATTAAAAGCATTATAGATAATGAAGCAACATCAGTACTTAATATAATGTGTACTAAATATCCCAGCATCTTAAAAAAAAAACAAAAACCAAAGTTAAATAGGATTACTAGAAGAAATAGACAGCAAAAGTCATTTTGGGAACTTCAGTGTACTCTCAAACAAAGACAGATTTAACGAAAAAAGATAACAAGAAAAGAGTTAAGGACTTTAGAAAAATGAGGTACCATATGATAGATCTTTGGTAGTGAATAGCAATAGGAAGGAATTTAAAATGTTCTCAGCTATGACTGGCACTTTCATAATCATTGTCCTTGTGCTAAGGCATTAGAAACTTCAGAAACAAATGCAGAAAAGCAAAAATAATAAAAAACATCCTTGATTCAACCATACCACAATAAAAATTATAATTAACAGAGAGCCTTTCATGAAAGGATTCAAACTTCAATGATGACTAAATAACTTAAGCTTGAAGAATTTGTGGGTCAAAGAACAAATCAGAGAAACAACACATAATTTCATCAGAGTAAATGGCAATAATTAGACAACATACCAAAATTGGGGGGATGTGGCCAAAGGAATCCTTTTATATCACTAAACCTCAACAAAAGAGAGAAAGAAGAAATAAACAAATTGGACATGCAACTAAAAAACAAAACAAAACTAGAGTATCAACAAATGAAAAGAAAAAAACCCTAGTCAAGTCAACAAGCATTTAGTAAGTGTTTATTTACTATATGCCAGGCACTGTGCTAAGCACTGTGAATACAAATACATGCAGAAAGATAGTCCCTGCTCTCAAGGAACTCACAGTCTACCAAACTGAAAAGCATCAGGGTAGAGAAGAGATAAAGGTATTAAGCTAGAGAAAGTCTAGAAGAGTCAGGAGTGCAGCTTAGAAAGGAATAAAGACATAGTTGGCCCTGGGTGATCTTCTTAAAATAAAGGTTCTAGGAGGAATCAGCCAAATAGAAGGTGCAGGGACCCTTCCAAGTGTGAAGTGTGCAAAGGTGGAGTGAGCTTGCCTGGGTGGAGAAGTTTCTATGGCATGGTAGAGAAAGTATAGTTCAGGGAGTCAGGAGCACATCATGGAGAGGAATGAATGAACTCAACATGACAATGGAAATTCTGGACATAAAAAATTAACGAAACTGAAAGAAAAGAATTGAACTGACAGAACTATGCTTTGTTTTTCTAAAGTAAATTTTAGTGATACTTTCAGTTTTTACGAGTCATTTCCAAATATACTTCTCCTCCACCTTCCATTTCAGTGATGTCTATTGGAGCAAAGAAAAATAATTAAGCAAAACTAACCAACGTGGTGACCACATCTCCCAGCATATGTACATACAATCCACCTCCATAGCTTCTCATATCTCTAATAAAAGTAGAGGGAATTTTTCCAAATCTCTTCTATAGGGCCAAGATTGGGCACTATAATTACAAGTGTTTGACTTTATTTTAATGTTCTTTTTGCTTACATCATTGTAGGCATTTTAGATAGTGTTTTTTTGGATCTGCTTACTTCAGTCTGCATCACTTCAAATCCCATCTCTGAATTTCCTCATGTTCATTGTTTCTTATGGCACAATACTATTCTGTTTACCTTTTTGTTGTTTTTGTTGGTTGGAACCACAAAAAGTCTTTCTATAAATATTTTTGGATATACAGGAACTTTCTTTCTGCCTTTGACTTTTTTGGGATATATGCCTGGTAATGGGATCTGTGGGTCAACCAACAGATATTAACAGTTGAGGGACTATTCTTTCAGCCAGTTCTTCAAAACCTTCTCCTTAGTGCAATATAAGGGCAATTGATTAGCAATGTTTACTGACTGATTGACATGCTTTAAAGATCCTCCATACTCACTATATCCCCATGGTGATTATCCAAGGGCCTTATACATTCATACATTGTTAATGGACAAGTTTTCCATTTTAAGTGCATACGGGCCTTCCAATAAAGGCCTTCTGAAGCTCTTTAGCACTCCTTTTTGCATTTCTGTGTCTGACTCCCCAGAGCTGGAACTAGCACAGGCAATTTTGCCCCACGTACCATCATGTAAGATAATGAGCTTCCTCCTGCCTAGCAGAACACCAGCTTGCCAATCTAATCCCATGACCAGCCTCTGTGTAGATGTACGCTCATCCTCAGGTTCGAATAACTGTCAAGTCTGTCTTCTGGGGCCCACATTCCCATCTGGACGGATTTTCCCTATGGTGTGGCCTGACCTGGAGCCAGTACCAAACAGATGCAGGAGTGGGGGGAAGGAGGAGCATCAGATGGGCCTCTCCATCCCCACTTAGTAAACTCAGCCAGCCCTAGCCCTCAGTCCCCATGCATCCTCTGTCCTCCCTTCCCATTGTGCCCTCTAGAATTGTCTTTTATTGTTAACAAACTACCCTTCATTCCAGGGGTCCTCCTCTCAAACTTCCTTCTCCTGCTACTCATTACCAGGAGTAGCTTTCTTCTGAAGACACCACATCTCTTGGTGCCATTTTCAAGGCCAGATACTCCTTTCTTCTTGCCCCTAGATAACCAGGGACCAAGAAGAAAAGATGCCCTCATCTTTCTTCTCCACCCTTATTTTCTGACTCTTCCTCTGCCATTGTTACTAAGCAATCACCTTTCCCACCTCTGCACTCTTTCTCCATCCCCCCTTTTTTTCTGTCGAGACAGTGGAGTCAAGTGACTTGCCCAGGGTCATACAACTAGTACGTGTCAAATGTCTGAGGCCAGATTTGAACTCAGGTCTTCCTGAATCCAGGGCAGATGCTCTATCCACTTCACCATCTAGCTGCCCCTATGCTCTTTCTTTAAAGTTCATTGTATCCTATCCAGACCCTTTTGTTGCCATTTAGGGACCCATATGCTCATTCACTCCCACTCCCAGTAAGTTCAGTACCTGGCTCAGGGTCATTCCCTTCCCTTCCTGCCCTGCCCTGCCCCGTCCCCCCCCCCCCCCCCCCCAGCATCTTGGCTTTCTATGTCTTCAACCTCCTTCCCTCCCATGACCTGTGTTTCCAGGTTACCCTAACCATGCGCAGGAATCATTACATCTAAGACCCTACTCCTTTAACTAAATATGCTCCAGAAGCCAGAATTCTTAGTTATGCTCTGCTGATACATACCAATCTTCAAGTACCTTTTGGCAGTATCTGTCTCAGTTTTCCTTGTCTGCAAAGTGGGAGGACAGGCTGGTTAGATTTTCTCTCTGGTCCTTCATCACTCTAAGTCCTTACACCTCTGTGGTCTTTGAGGAATGGACAGTGTAATGAAGTATCTGAAGTTCTTTATACCTGCCCACAGGTGCTTTGTCCACCTTCTGTTTGGCTCTCTCCAGTGGCAGTGGGTGTTTCCCAGAAAATCGTCTTCTCTCCGCCATGTCAGACTATGAAAATGATGAGGAGTGTTGGAATATGCTCGAGAGCTTTCGGGTGAAGCTTATCTCCATCATCGACCCTTCTAGGATCACACCATACCTCCGACAGTGTAAGGTCATTAACCTTGATGATGAAGAACAAGTTCTCAATGATCCCAACCTGGTCATTCGAAAAAGGAAAGTGGGTCAGTATTGCCCTCCTTCTCTAACCGTCCCTATCCACCCCCATTCCAACTTGGGATTCATTGGCACAGATCAGCTGTGCCAAGCAGCAGCTTCCCTTGAAAATTTACTACACATATATGTAGACATTTGGCCATGAAGCATTCCTAGAAGATAGTTAATGTACTGTGGGCTTCAAGTGCCCAGACTTGGACAGTTTCTGGCCCAAACCAAGCATTTAAGAACACAGCTCAGCCCTGTCCAAGGGGAACATGTTTTAGGAAAATTGTCTCTGGTTTTACTTCTATTTCTCTCTGTTTTTGTTTTTGTTTTTTTTTTATTCTCTCTGTTTTTTAGGTGTTCTTTTGGACATCCTCCAAAGGACTGGTCATAAGGGGTATGTGGCCTTCCTGGAGAGTCTAGAACTTTATTACCCACAGCTATATAAGAAAGTCACTGGGAAGGAGCCCACCAGGGTCTTCTCCATGATAATAGGTAAGGTTGATTCAGAGAGTAAGGAGAACTGACTCAGCTTGGAATAGTAGAAGGAGCGATGGTTTAAGGTTAGCCAGGAGTCTTGAGTTCCAATCTTATCTCTGCTGCTGACTTTCTGTGAGCTTGGCCAAATAATCTAAACTCTCAGGGTTTCAATTTCCCACTCTGTAAAATGGAGATTATAATCCCTGCCTACCTCCCAGCACTATTGTGAATATCATGTGAGTTAATGGAGGTAAAAACATTCTGAGATGTTAAAGGTTCTATACAAGAGTACACAATTGGTACTTTTAACTGATCTTCATTTGTCCATGCTAATGAAAGAGTCTGAGGACATGAATAATCCAGAGAGTTTTCTACAAAGTAATGTTTCCTTTAGGTTATTTAGGGTGGGGTGGGAGTGGGCCTTATTTAGCAGCCATTTAGAAAGTTGATCAGATGGACAAGAGTTCCATTCTCAACCATATCATCCAATCCTTCCTTGCTTGAGTTTTCTTATCAGTAAAATGTATTTAAGTATCTTGGACCTTGCCTTGGGTAGGGGTGTTTGGAAGATGAATGCTGCCTCACATAAGAATCTTGGGTCCTTTTTTTTTGTTGTTAATGAACGAAAACAGGCAATGTTAATGGCCCCCATTTCTCCAGTTCTTTAAGATTTATAAAGCACTTTTCTTTCTCTAAAAAAAATTCATTTAAAAATTTTTGAGTTTCAAATTCTTTCCCTCCCACCCCTCCTCCACCCATTAAGAAGACAAGCAATATGATACCCATTTTACATGTGAAGTCATGCAAAACATTTTTCCATGTTTGTCATATTAAAGCACTTTTCTTACAACAACTATGTAAGGTAGATAGACCCTGAGTAATACCATCCCCATTTTACAGATGAAGAAATTGTAGTTCAAAGAGGTTGGGATGTCCATATTCACATAGCTAATCATTGTTAGAGCTGAGGTTTGGACTCAGGTCTTCTGATCATTAAACTAATACTGCATTTTTAGTACTCTGAGCATATTGGAGAAGGGTAATGACATATACTTACTAAATCAAATCATAGAGATGATAATGCAGGGCCTTGGTTTTCCCATCTCTGAAATGGGCAGTATAGCCATTGAAAGTGTTAAATCATCTCCTAGGAGGATTTGAAAGCTGTTGTATTTGTGATTTTTCATGAGGGAGGAGATGGAACCAAAATGGTCTTGATTCTTAAACTTCTACCTGGCCTCCTGAGGAGGGTGTTATGCCTTTGTTTTCTCTGAAGCAGCAAAAGTTATTAACTGTATACAATTATGAATAATGGATACACGTATGAGCCTCTGTTGACAGAAAAATCGGGGGTAGAGTGGGGTGGGAAGATGGACTTGGGCCAAGAGGGACATAACTGTGTGTTTGACAATCCCTGTGGCTGGACAGATGCTTCTGGGGAGTCAGGCCTGACACAGCTGCTCATGAATGAAGTCATGAAGCTGCAGAAGAAAGTGCAAGATCTGAACGTGATGCTGAGTGCCAAAGATGACTTTATCAAGGAAATGCGGGTGAAGGACAGCATGCTGCGTAAGCACCAGGAACGGGTACAGAAGATGAAGGATGATTGTGAGGCATTTAGCCGGGAGCTCAAGAGGTGCAAGGATGAGAACTATGACTTGGCCATGCTCTACGCCAGGCAGAGTGAGGAAAAAAACGCTGCGCTTATGAGGAACCGTGATCTTCAGCTTGAGGTGCGCCATCTCCTGCCCCCTGCATGTTCTGGCTGTCTCTGGGGTGAGATTTATCCGTCTCTAGGTCTCCCTCTGGCTCTGTGTCTCTCAATGTCAATTCTTGCGCTTCTGTTTGTCTAACTCTAGGTTGGGGTTTATTTCTGTCTCTGGGCCTAGATCCGTTCCTATGTCCATCTCTGGGTCTGCTTCTGGATCTATAGGTCTGTCTCTATCCTTTTGTCTGCCTCTGAATCTAGGTTCATTTATTGGTGTCTATATCTCAGACTCTGAGCCTATCTTGATTTAATGTGTATATGTCTTTGTTGGTCTTCCATTTTTCCTAGTTGTCAGGATGGTCTACAGGGGGTGGGGTTTGATCCTCTCTGACACTTTGAAACTAGAGTAGCTCCCTAGCCAATTGGTAACTTTCATCCCAGTAATGCCATTCACACGCTCTCATCAAATAGCCTTCTAGGCTTAACAGAGGCACCATGGCAATTGTTTCTGGGTAAAAGCCAAGGTGGGAGCAGATGTAACAATTTGCAAGGTGAGTGAGAATCTTTTCCTCTTTGACCTCTCAGGGAGCAGAGGCAAAACCAGCAAGAACGGAGTGTCCTAGAGGGTATGGGAAGAATCTCATGGGGGTGAACGGTCTTCTTGCAGATAGACCGACTAAGGCACAACCTGATGAAGGCTGAGGATGACTGCAAGGTAGAGAGGAAGCACACAATGAAACTCAGGCATGCTATGGAGCAGAGGCCGAGTCAGGAGGTCATGTGGGAGATCCAGCAGGAGAAGGATCTTCTTCAAGCAAAGATCCAAGAACTGGAGAGCTCCATGAAGGTAGGTCAGCCACCTGGCTCCGAGGTTGGAGTCTTATTCTGAGGAGAATTAGGAGAATGCCATGGGGGTATCTTTGGGGAATGATCTTCAAGGCAGAGGGAATATTCATATGTACAAAGTATTTCTAGAAGCTCTTTTTGTGATGACAAAGAATTGGAAACTGAGGGAGTACCAATCAATTGGAGGATGGCTGAACAAGTTTTGATACGTGAATGTGATGGAATACTATCATGCTATAAGAAATGATGAAGGACATGGTTTCAGAGAAGCTTGGGAAGACTTGTATGAACTGATGCAAAGTGAAGTGAGAAGAACTGGAACCATTTATATAACAACGATATTGCAAAGACAAACAATTCTGTCTTTACAAAGACAGACTTAGGAATTCTGATCAACAAATGACTAGCCATAATTCCAAAATACTCATGATGAAAACATGCTATTCACTTCCTGATAGAGAAGTGATAGATTCAGAGCATAGATTGAAACATATTTTTTGGGACATGGCAAATGCGGCAATTTGTTTTGCTTGACTGCGTATTTTTGGAACAGGGTTTTTTTTTTTTTTTTTTGCTTTCTCAGTTTTGGTGGTAGTGGGGGGGAGACAGAACAGAAAGAATGAAGACCTAAAAATGAAATAAAATTGAATTTTTTTAAAAAGGCAGAAAGAATATTATAGGTTTGGGATCCCCCTGAAAGCTCAAAGACCCATGTCACAAATAGGTGAACCAGATCACAGGCCTTCTGAGGGTAGGACCCATATCTTATATGTCTTTATATTTCCCACACTTTTCCTGATAATATTAATAATAATAGTCATTGTTATTATTATTACATCCTATTTTGATGTCAAAGATTTTTGATTTCGTGGCCCTAACCCTAACTTCTTGCAGCCCCCACCTGCTAATGTAGCTCATAGCCTCTCTGTGACTTTGAAGATGGTTTTGAGAGTTCTTAAAACCCCTTTTCCTTCCCTTCCCTGCCCCCCCCAAAATGTACTGCCAGCCTTCTGGTGATGAGTCTTGAACAGGTGTATATTCCCTTACTGAGCCTTTACTGGAAGCCTCTCCAGTTTCACACAACCCACCAGAGCTTGCATCCTTCTGGCGTCGCTTTCAGGAACCCAGGGGGAAGTCTAAGCCATGAGGAGACATCAGAGTAGACTTAAATAGACAAATAATAGTAATAATGGTATTAACTTACTGACTCACATTTTGATGGTGCTTTAAAGTTGGCTAAGCAGTTTCCTCAAATGCCTGTCATGTAGGTAGTACAAGTATTATTAGCCCCATTTTTTGCAGATGAGGAAAATGAAACTCAGAAATGTGATGTGACTTGCTCAGGGTCACGCAGCTAGGAAAAGTCACTATTCAAAGCCAGATCTTCTGCAACCCAAGTTTAGTGCTTTAGCTGCTCAACAAATATATCTTAAAATAAATAAATGAATAGATGACTCTTCAGAATATTAGATTGTAAGCTTCTTGAGGACAGGGACTATCTTTTGCCTCTTTTTGTATCCCCAGTGCTTAGCACAGTGCCCGGCACACAGTAAGTGCTTAATAAATGTTTATCAAATGAATGGTATCTTGGGTTCCTGGGTGTTCTTTTGGCAGTGTAAAATCAGAAAGGTAGAGGATGTACTGCCCAGAGCCACCCCCATAATGAATATGTGAAGTTGGCAAAATCAGTCATTGGGGTCCTTCCCTTCTCTGCTGCCATTGCTCCGAATTCTAGTGGATTTCTGGCACTGAAGAAGAGGCAAGGTTCACTTTTCACAAATTGACCTTTTTCAAGATTGAGAAACACAGCCCTGGACTACAGAAATGCCCTCCCTGCTTCAAACAGTTCTTTCATCTCTAAACCCTCTGATCTCCAGGAAACCAATCCACTCACTGGACAGCAGTCAGTCAGCCAATAAACATTTACTAAGATCCTACTGTGTGTAAGGCACTGTGCTAAATGCTGGGGAAACTTTTTCTGTTTTTGTTTTGTTCTGTTTTGTTTTTTAGCTGTATCTGAGTCTTCATGACCCCATCTGGGGTTTTCTTAGCAAACATAATGGTATGGTTTTCTTCTCCAGTCCAATTTACAGATGAGGAAACTGAGGCAAACAGGGTTAAGTGGCTTGCCCAGGGTTACACAGCTAGTAAGTGTCTGAGGCCAGATTTGAACTCAGAAAGGTGAGTCTTCCTGACCAAAGTCTTCCTCTAACACCTAAAAGTTCCCCGGTTTTTTTTAATGACAAATGAGCATCATGAGGAAGCCAGTAGAACAAAGGTAGCCAGGAGGGGAGGATGGAAAGGGGAGGGTGGCAGGCAGATGAAAATAGAGGAGGAAAAGAAATGGAATGGGGAAAGAGATTGGGGAGGAAAGAGAAAAAGAAGATGAGGAGAGAGAGAGAGAGAGAGGTACAGACCAGCTTCTCTGGGATCAGAGAGAGAATTTATTGAAAGGCCAGTCACAGAAAGAAGCCATTCCTAAAAGCCACAGCAGGGAAGAAGACGGGAAAGGGAAAAGGCTCAGAAAGCGCCAGGATACAAATACTTAAAAAAAAAATCCTGCCCTCAAAGAACTTACAATCTACTGGGAGAAGAAGCTACAAAGGGAAAGAGGAAGAGAAGGTACCAGCTCTGAGGCATGATGGGAAAGTCCAACAGAGTAACCAGATGGGAAATGAGGAGATGGTTGGCCTGGGGGCCTTCCTTGAATGTGCTGCACCCCTCTCACTTACCTTGTTCAAGAAAGGGCCATCAGGGGAGGGTTCCTCCTTGCCTCCTTTCGGGACACATTTTCCATTGTCTTCTGAGGGAAAGTCTCCTCCCTTCCCCTCAACCTGGTCCACCCCTCCCCTGCCCCTAACTACCTCAGTCTCTCCTAATGTCTCCTTTGTCCTACAGACCACTCCAGACTTGAAGGCCACTGTTGGTATAGCAGAAAGATTCAGAAAAAAAATTAATCATGAATGGTAGGATTTCATGCACTGGGATAGGTGGGTATAGGGAGATATTTTTAAGTGGCAGACCTATCTACTTGTTTTGGGATCAAGCAGCATAATTCAGTGGAAGGAGTTACTGATAGAGTCAGAGGACCTGGGTTCAAATCCTGGCTCTGCCACTTACTATCTGTGTGACCTTGGATAAGTCATGTAATCTCTTTGGGCCTCAGTCTCCTTCTTTGTAAAATGAAGGGGTTGGATTGGATGATTTCCAATGTCCCTTCTGCCTGTAAATCTGAGATCCTTGATTCTTATGACCTGGGTCATGTCCTAGCTTGACTACTGTCTATATGACCTCAGACAAGTAATTTGCCTTCTTTCTGCCTCAGTTTTCTTATCTATAAAATGGGGATAATATTTATGCTAGTTACATCAAAGGGTTTGTTGAAATGCAAATGATTATGATTATTAAGCTGTTACCTCCCTCCTGGCCCCCACATCATTCAGAAAGGAAAGCGGGACAAGAATAATGCTTACATCCAGATTCTGGAGGAAGACTGGAGACAGACTCTGAAGGATCACCAGGAAAAGGAAAACATAATTTTCCACCTACGAAAGGATCTGCGGCAAGCCGAGGCACTCCGGAACAAGGTGGGCTGACTGAGGCCTTGGAGAATCAGGCTATGTCCTCCTCAGAGCAGGGTCACCTCTACAGCTTGGTCACTTGTCCTGAAACTAGCCAACCCAGAGCTCAGCTGTGCTAACTCTGGACACAGACACTGACCGCTCTGGCCAGTCCTGGGGTCAGCCAGGTAGTCAGGGCCTCCTGAGCTCCATGTCCCGCATTGGACCCTTCTCAGATAGGAGGTTGGCCCCAGAATGGGGAGGAAAGGCTTGGAGGTTGAAGAGACAGATTTAGAATTGATGTAAGGAAAAGCTTCGTAACAAATAGAGCTGTCCAAGGCCCCATCAGCCACTCGGGAAGGAGGTTCTCTCTTGTTGGAGGGTTTGGAGTGGAGGCTTGATGGGCATTTGTTGGGAATATCCTAGAAGAGTCAACCAAAGGAGTGTTGGTTGAATTGGACGGCTGTGAGATTCCTTCCGACTCTGAGGTTTTGTGAGGAGCTGCACCTTGGGAGAGAGGGAGGTGCTTGGAGAAGAGATGTCTTCACCTTCTCCTGAGGAGGTAGGGAGGGAGCGAGTGAGCGAGTGAGCGAGCTCTGGCCGGCTCTTCTCTTTCCTTTTTTATTTATTCACATACCATCGGTTGCATGTCTCTGACCTATTCAAGTCTAACTCATTGGTTTACTTTGCCAACAGCCAGGAGACACTAGGCAAAATAATAAAACAGTTTATGTCTGTGTGTATTTAAATATAATAGAATTCATTGAGGAAACATAAATATATAGTTAGTAATATATTTAACATATTACATGCTTAATATATTTAATAAAATATAAATATAAAACAAAATAATTTTTGTATTTAAATATAATAGAACTTATCAAGTAAATATAAATATATAAATATCTAATAATATATTTACCATATTATATGCTTAATATATTTTATAATACATTATTATATGTTTAATAATTTTAATATAAATATAAAACAAAATATTTCTATTTGTATATATTTAAATATAATTTATCAAGTAAATATAAATATCTTACATGGCTAATATATGTTTAGTATGTTTAATAATATTAAAAAAATATAAATATAAAATATAATTTATATTGATTCTTTTTAACTCTTCAAAGCACTTTTATACCCAATACTTGTCTTTGGTTCCTGTAAAATTCATGTCTGTGTACTTTTCTTCTGCCTTTCAGCTCTCTTTTTTTCTTCCTTTCCCCCTCACCCCTCACAAACTCCTTCATACTGAAGTATGAGGGACTGAATATATGATCCTTTCCAGGGGGATTTGTGTCTTAGAAGAGAAGTCAGAAGAGGGCAGTACTGAATGCCCATGGAATGAAGCAATAATTGGGGGCTTCAGGTACTGGGACAGGCTGAGGTAGGGAGATCCTTGTGGGTATGAGGCCTTCAAATCAATAAAAAGTAGGTGAGAGGGCTACCTCCTCCAGCTATATGTATATGTATACATATTCATAAGAAGAAGCCCTCTTCATACACAGCAAGCTCATTTTCATACAGTTTTGTTCCCTCCTGCCCCCACACCCTCCTTTTCCTGTTCTTACTTCCTATTTTCCCTTCCTTAATCTGATCTGTCACGCTGCTTCTGGGAATGATGCCACCTACCTTCTTACAGAATTGTTGGGCTGGGGGCGAGGGGTGAAGAAGAGGGAAAAGCTTGGTTTAGACGTTAGATGATCCTTGCGCTATGCTCAGAGAAGTTGAGGGAAGAAGTGGGGCCAGAAACTTACTGACTCCAATGACTTCCCTTTTCTCCTTAGAGCATAGAAGAGAAGGAGATGTTTGAGCTACAGGGCATGGCCCTGCGCAAGGATTCGAAGATGTACAAAGAACGCATCGAAGCTATCTTGCAGCAGATGGAGGAAGTAGCTATAGAAAGGGACCAGGTATGTGCAGGCAGGCCACCCAGGCCCGTCTCTCGGCAGCCAGCACCTGAAAGTGCTGACAGAAGAAATGAAGTTGGCGTTCCCAGGCACCTGCACATCGTGATCAGAGAAATACCAGTGGGAGGTTAAGCTGATTTCTCAGTGAAACGAGTGAGGCATGCGGTCTCCTTTGCAAGAGCACCCCATTTCTGGCAGGGGACAGTGGAGTTCTCCCAGGCAGAGTAGAGGCAGTGGTGTTGTGCCCAATTCTTCCCCACCCTGCAGCCTTCAATGTGCAGAGGCCTTTGATCACTGGGAGAGTCATATAGTGAAAGGGGAAGGGAAGCCCTGGGTCTGCCACTCACCTGTGTGAGTTTGGGCGAGTTAGTTTCCTCAGTATGGTGGGTGGAGATGAGATGACCTCTGAAGTCCCTTCCAGCTCTCATTCTGTGATTCTAGGACTTTTCTCATCTGTCTGAGGTTGGGAAAATGTTCTGCCTCATGAGAAAGGGAAGGAGGGGCAATAGAAATAACAATGGATGTTGATTCAGGGGACCTGGGTTCTGGTATCACTCAGGCTTTATGGCCTTAGGAAAGTCATTTCCCCTCTTCTGGTCTAGTTTCTCCATGTATATGATGAAGGGGCTGAAATTATTGGCCTTCCTTCCGGCGCTGGTATCCTATATCTGTTTTTAAAAAAAGCTATTTTCATAACAGATCTAGAACTGGAAGGGACCTTAGAGGACATCTAGTTCAACTCCCTCATTGTACATATGGAGAAACTGAGGTCAAGGGAGGTTGTGACATGTCCATGGTCACATAGCTATAAGTGCCAGAGGCAGGATTCGAACCTTGGTCCTTGGACTCCGGAGCTTGTGCTCTTTCTACACTACCTCCCATATAATGAACCCTGCTATTTGGCGACAGGACGGCCAGGGTGGTTCAGTGCATCAGGCCTGGAGTCAGGAAGACTCCTCTACATGAGTTCAAATCCAGCCTCAGATACTTACCAGCTGTGTGACCCTGAGCAAGTCACATAACCGTTTGCCTCAGTTTCCTCATCTGTAAAATGAGTTGGAGAAGGAAATGGCAATCCACTCTAGTGTCTTTGCTAAGAAAACCTCAAAAGGGGTCAGGAAGAGTCTGATACAACTGAAACAACAGCAACAAAATTTGGCCGCAGTGTTGTCACTGGGGAAGTCAGTCCCTGATGCCTGTTTCTGTCCAGAGTTCAGGATACGTTTGGGCAGTCACGGTGCCTCCTGCGGGAGTAAGGACTGTATTCTGGGCACTGGGGTACCGGGACATCTCTTCCTGAGGGGCTTCAACCCAGCTTCTGTTTGTGCGACCCTTCCTCCCCCCACCAGGCCATCATGACAAGGGAGGAATTCCACCTGCAGTATTCGAATAGTCTGAAGGAGAAGGATGAGCTCCGGAAGCAGATCCGGGAGCTGGGTGAAAAGTATGATGAGTTGCAGTTACAGCTGTTTAAGAAAGAGGGGCAGTTACTGTCTATGGAGAGCAAGCTAAAGAGGCTGCAGTCGGAGACACCCATTCTGGTATGTTTTTACTGGGGGAATGGTAGCATCAGAGCTCCCAGAACTCTCCTCTCCAGACCTGGTGGATGTAGTTATGGTCTTTCCCAAAGGCCAGGGAGTAGGCTCAGTTATCTCATCATGTCCCGCAATGGATTATGGGACCCTAGGATTCTCTTACCTCTGTGGTCTACTTTTTATCAGTCAGTCATGACTGAGGACACTTCTTTGAGGGTCCAGGGACCTAGGTTCTAGTTCTGGCTCTGCTACTAACTCACCTGTGACCATGGCAAGCCATTGCCCCTCTGGGGGCCTCAGTTTCCCTATCTATAAAATGGAAAGGTTGGTCTAGTTCATTCTACAACTGATGTTCTAAGACTTTTTGATGCAAAGATCATCCAGGCCCTCATCACTTCTTGACTGGTCTATTATAAAAGCCTTCTAATTTGACTCCCTGCCTCCAGTTTTTCCACTCCAATTCATCCACCACATAGTTGCCAAAGTGATCTTCCTAAACCATAAGTCTGATCATGTAACTCATATTTCCTCAATAAATTCCAGCAGATCTCTGTTACCTCCAAAATCAAATATAAAATCCTCTCTTTGGAATTCAAGGCTCTTGACCACTTGATCCTGTCCTGTCTTTCTAGTCTTTTCACACTTTACTCCCCTGCTTATTCTCTACAAACCCATAGTAATATTAGCCTACTTGCTGTTCCTCACATGTGATACCACCTTTGCACTGGCTGTCCTCTCTGCCTAGAAAGCTTTCCCTCCTCACCTCTTGACATCCCTGGCTTCCTTCAAGAATCAGTTCAAATATTACCATTAGGAGCCTTCCTGGTCTTCCCTGTCCTCAATCCCCTTCGCCCCACCTACCTGTCCCTTTTCCTATAAAATTATGGTCTTTCTACTCTTTATTTCTCTTGTAGAAACCTACTGATTTACAGGTTATCTTTCCCATTAGTATGTAAACTCCTTGGGCCAGGGACTTTTTTCATCCTTTTGCCTTTCTTTGTATCTCAAGCTTGGAATATAGTAAGTACTTCATCAACAATTTAATGAATGATTCAACCAACCATACTGGGGCCTTCTGCGAGCCCAGCTCAGTGTTTGTCATTGAAGGGGAGATGAGAGAGAAGGGGAAACTGAAGGGAGAAACTTATAATAGAGTGGGGGAAATGAGACTGACCCACAAGAGAAACAATCCCTAATATAGGGTCCTCACACAAAGCTGGCTGTCAGCGAACGTGTAAACAAAATAAGGGAACAATAGGAAGTAGTAATTAAGTACTAAATTTAATTTAGGGAAGGAATCAGAGGTAGGACTTAAGCTGGGAGCTTTAAAGGATAGAAAGAATTGGGAATTGGTAAATAGAAAAGAGGGAAGAGGATATTCAATCAGTCAATATTCATTAAGACCTACTACATGCCAGGCACTGTGCTAAGCCCTGAGGATGCAAGAAGTGGCAAAAGACTGTCCTCTGCCCTCAAGGAGCTTGCAGTCTAATGGGAGAGACAGCATGCAAACAAATATATACAAAGAAAGCTATATACAGGATAAATAGAAAATAATTAATAGAGGGAAGACATTGGAATTAAGAGAGGTTATGGTTACCTTCCTGTAGAAGATAGAAGCCAAGGAGACCAGTAGTCAGAGCAAAGGAAGGAGAGTATTCCAGGCATGGGGGTCAGACAGAGAAAATACCTGGAGATGAGAGATAGAATGTCTTTTTCCTGCAACAGCCAGGAGACCAATGTCATTGGATCAAAAAGTACTTGTTGGGGAGCGAGGCATAAGAAGGCTAGAGAGATAGGAGGGGGCTAGGTTATGAAGGGCATTGAACGCCAAATAGAGCATTTTATATTTGATACTGGAAGCAATAGGGAACTACTGGAATTTACTCTGTGTGTGTGTGTGTGTGTGTGTGTGTGTCTGTGTGTGTGTGTGTGTGTGTGCGTGTGTGTATGAGAGAGAGAGAGAAAGAGAGAGACATAGTCAGACCTGTGCTTTGGGAAAATCGCTAGTGGCTGAATGGAGAATGGATTGCACTGGGGAGAGACTTGAGGCAGACAGACCCACCAGCACACTATTGCAGTAGTCCAGGTGTGAGGTAGTGAGGACCTGTACTAGGGTGGTGGTGATGTCAGAGAAGAGAAAGGGGCATATACAAGAGATGCTGCAAAGATGAAATCAACAGGCCTTAGATATGGGGGATGAGATAGTGAGGAATCCAGGATTGTGTCCTAGGTTGACAGCCTGAGAGACTGGATGGTGTTGCCCTCTACCGTAGTAGGGAAGTTAGGCTGGTGTTGGGGAAGAGTTTTTGGGGAAAGATATTGAATTTTGTTTTGGACAAGTTAAGCATAAGATGTCTACTAAACATCTAGTTTGAGATGTCTGAGAGGTCATTGGAGATGGGAGACTGGAGGTCAGCAGAGAATTTGGAGCAGGATAGGTAGATTTGAGAATCATCAGCAGAGAGATGGTAATTAAATCCATGGGAGCTGATGACATCCAAGTGAAGTAGTATAGAAGAAGAAGAGAAGAAAGCCCAGTACAAAATCCTGAGAGATACCTACAATTAGAGGGTGTGACCTAGATGAGAGTCCAGCAAAAGAGAGAGAGAAGATGCAGTCAGAGAGGGATTCAAGAGCGGATGATAGTGTAGAATTGAATTGGTTCACCAAAGAGTCAAGATATGGAGAAGAGGGTGGCTACTAAAAGGAGATGACCTAGGAGGGAATTGAGGGGTCAAGGGAATAGAGGTGATGGTGAGGAAGAGTAGGGTTGTGTAAGGGAAGGCAGAGAAAGAGGTGAAAAGCCAATAGATTATGGTCAGTAAAAGGATTTCAGAATTCTTGAACATAGAGGTGGTACAGTTGTAGGTGATGGCAAGATTGAGGGTATGACCATCTTGGTGTGTGGCTGGGGAGGGGTAGAGTTGCAGCTCATGGGAAGTGAGTTGGTTGAGGAACTGAGTGGTTAGGATATTTGAGAGAGAGTCAATATGTATATTGAAGTGTCCTAGTATAAGGGCAATCAAGGGGAGGAGAGAAAAATTGTAAGCCATGTATATGTACTGAACTCAATGAAAAAGCAAGGAGAGTGATCTAGGAGTCTGGAATCAAGCTACCAAGATTTTGACTCGGGGTGGGGGAGTGGTACAGAAGAATATCATGAAGCTCAAAGGAGGAGAGATTACTGAGTGATGGAGGAAGGGGGAGAACCTGGAAGTGACAATGGAGAGCAAGAGCATTCCAACTTCCTTCCTTGATCAGTGAGCAGAGGGAAATGAGAGAAGGTGTAGTTAGTACTGGAAAGGGTGGTCAGGAAGGCTGTGCCATAAGGGGCAAGCCAGGTCTCAGCAAGAGCTAGTAGATGGAAGAGGAGAAGATTTAAGATTAAGGGAAGTTTGTTATCTAAGGAATGGGCATTCCAGGAGACACAGTGGAAGAGTTGGGTGGAGTTAATTTAAAACTTTGAGGTAGGCTGGTTGAGGGGGATAGGAATGAAGAATTGGGTGGTGGGTAGTGTGGAATAGGGTTTGGATGATGATCGATGGGAGTTCAGTCACTGGTATATGAAGGGTATGACCATGTGTGAGAATGTTCACCATTGAGAGGAGGGTGTCACTCCTCTTTTCTCGAAGCACAGGCATAGCAGGAGATGGGAGGCTTGAAGTCCAAAGAAGAATTACTCCACATCCCAATTGGAAGATTGGGTTGGCAGCAAGAGGTCAAAGTTGCTCTGTGCTGGCAATTATAGGCAACCAATAAACCAACAGGCATTTATTGTTATGTGCCAAGCTCTGTGCTAAATTTTAGGAGATACAAGAAAAGCAAAAACAGTCCTTGCCTTCAAGGAGCTTACATTCTAACGAGGAAGACAACATATAAGTAGGTATGTACAATATAGGTGCAGAGGGGAAGGTCCAACAGCGAGAGGCAGGGAGTATGGTGGGGGGACAGAATAGGAAAGTCAGGGGAATGGCATGAATTAGGGCAGGAGGAGGCAGGTATTATTAGCCTGGTGTGTGTGTGTGTGTTGAGGGGTGAGGGTAAGCTGAGTGGAAGGTATGTGACCATGAATCGTGGGAGGTAAGGCAACAAGTTTTCGAATGTGTTAAATAAAATGCATAGGATTACAAAGTAAGCCAATCAAATTTTTTTTTTTTTTTTGGTAAGGCAGTCGGGGTTAAGTGACTTGCCCAAGGTCACACAGCTAGTACGTGTCAAGTGTTTGGTCTGAGGCTGGATTTGAACTCAGGTCTTCCTGACTTCAGGGCCAGTGCTCTATCCACTGTGCCACCTAGCTGCCCCCAAAATATTTTTTAAAAGCCAAGTTCATGGTCCCCAGGTTAAGAACTCCTAACTACAGAATTAGGAATACTACATGGGCAGTATTTTCTTTCTTCTTTCCTTCCTTATTTTTTTAAATGGTTTTTGAAAATGTCTGTGAATTGTATCCCAAGCCCCATTGTGCTATCTACTGTTCCAAGCCAATTCTCTTCTCTACCACCCCCTCCTCACACTCTGAAGGTATATCCAGGAGGGATAAAGGCCCTGACAAGTTTTCTCTCTTTTCTTGTGACCCAGAGTTCGGACTTAGATGACAGCTCACCCAGGAATTCTCAGGAGGTGAGTGTCATGATTTGTTTAATTCTGAGTATTACCCTTTGCTTCCTCACCAGACCCATAGCTTTGCCTAGAGCAGGACCTAGTTGGGAGCCACCTTTCTTCTTCCTCATTGCTGGGGTCAGGCTCTAAAGAGATTTGTTGATGGATTATCCAGTGTCTAACTATTGGCCCAGAAGGACAGGGCAATGGCTGTCATATAAAAAGCAAGGACTTTAGAGTCAGAAGAAGACCTAAATTCTGGTCCCAACTCTGCCATCTAATAGCTGGAAGACCATGGGTAAATCACTCCACTTTGGAGCTTCCATTCTTCCTTCAAAATAATAGCTGCAACACATTTCCATAGCACTTTAAGGTTTATAAAGCCTTGCCTGTGAGGTGGGTAGTAGAAATATTATTATTCCCATTTTCCAAATCAGGAAATTGAGGATTAGAGAGGTGAAATGTCTTCTTCATGATCATACAGCTCGTAATTCAGTTCGATTTAACAAAGATTTAAGGGTCTGTTGTTTATAAGACACCACTATAAATGTCAAAACCAGAATTAGAACCCAGTTCTCTGCTGGCTCCAAGTCTAAAACCCTCTCCATTATCTCTAAGTTTTGGTACTCTTTGCCTCCTGGGGATGTTGGGGGAATTGAGGAAAGTCATGTGAGAAAGCACTTTTTAGGGGGCAGCTAGGTGGCACAGTGGATAGAGCACTGGCCCTGGAGTCAGGAGGACTTGAGTTCAAATCCGGCCTCAGACACATAACACTCACTAGCTGTGTGACTCTGGGCATGTCACTTAACCCCAATTGCCTCACCAAAAAAAAAAGAAAAGAAAAGAAAAGAAAGCACTTTTCAAAGGAGAAAGTATTAAGCCAGTGGGAAGTTTAGAGGTTGGGCCAGGCTGGTAGAAATGTAGAAGGGACAAGCTGCTGGATTTATAACTCAGAGAGGTTATGGTTCAGTCACAGGCACAAAAAAAGAAAAACTCTCTATCATGGTGGTCCATTGGATGTCAAGGGTGACGGGAATAGGGGAGGAGAAAGGGAGTTTAGCACTGTCCCAAAAGGTCTATTGAACATGAGATAAGAGGAGGAGTGAAGGACCAGCAGGCCCTCACTTCCCTCTGGGTATACCTGTTTCACATTCCTGGGGTCTTGTTACATCACGTTTTGGAGAGTCTCAAATGTATCAATAGATTTGGTGGGAGGTGTACCTTGGAGAGAGTCTGAAAGGGGACAAAGTTGGTGGAAATGATTGAAACCCAGTTTCAGTGGTTATGGGTGAGGACCAGTATTGAAGTCTAAACTAGGCTATTTGTCTTTTTCCCAAAGTTAACTCTTCCCAGGGACCTGGAGGAGAATGCCCAGCTTTCCAACAAAAGTGAGCGCGCCTCTACACTTCAATTCCCCAGCAGTGTGGTACAGTGGAAAGGGCGCTAACTCTGTAGTCCGAGGACCTGGGTGTTCAAATCCCACTCTGATGTCTACTACCTGTTTGTCTTTGGGCAAGTAATTCAGTCTCCCTGGGACTGGTTTCCTTAATGAGTGAAATGAGAGAGTTGGGCTAACTGATCTCTGTCTAAGGTCTCTTTCACCTTAAATCCTGTGGCCGTCCTATGTGATTAAGCAACCACCTTGGGAGACTGGGAGAGCCTGACTTATATATAGGTAGAACTGGTAATGTGGTATGAACTGAGAGGTCCTAGGCTTCCTTCTCACCCCACTATCAGCCTGTCGCTGATGCCTAAAATACTACCATTAGAGTCACTTCTTTGGGTTAAGACAGTGAAAGCCTGGTTCAATTGTAATTAATTACCCCAAGGAGAGAGAAGTTGCTAAGTCATGACTGTCAGTCACTTTCACTTTTAGTATGATTTCTGACACATTCTTTCCATCTTGGCAGCAACTGGGGGTGGGTGGTGGGGGGAAGTAGCAAAGGCCTGTGAACAGTTTCCCCCATTTCACATATCTGTCCATGCGTGACATCGACTCTGATTTCTAAAGACAGAGGAGTTAAAAGGGGAACCATTCACATTTCCCCCACCATGCAGAGTGAAGGTGTCAAAAAGAGAAACGCCCATGTGGAGGATAACTGGCTGATCAGCTGTTACTCAGCTGTGTCCAGGAGGGGAACCAGAAAGGAATTGAGTTTTACTTCTTCCTACAATAGCTGGACTATTCTGGTCAGAGCAGGAGGGTTTGAGGAAGAATGAAAGCAGGCACAGAGTTGACCAGCGTAGCCTGGGAGATGTATGTCCTAGGGCAGGAGGAAATAGCATCTTTGGCCTGGAGGAATACCCCTTCTGAGGGTGACTTCTTGTTTGGCAGGGCTCTGAGAAGGCTGCAGATCTGAGCCCCGGGGGCCACGGTCCAGGGAAGGTAGCTTGTGGTATGGACTTCTCAGTCCTTCCAGCATGCGCAGCTCCTTCTAAAAGGTGATCTCCTGCTAGGAGAAAGCATACTATGAGGGGACCTAAGGAAAGAGGGGACATGATCACGATCTCACAGTGGGATGGGACCTCAGAGACTCATCTAATTCAACCCACTCCTATAGATCTGGATGTTCCTGCCACCTCTGCCTCTTCCCCAGGAAGCGGTCATCCAACCTTTTACTTGAGAACCTCCGGAGACTGGAAGAAGCCCCTTTCTCTTTAGGGCAGCTCTCGTTGTTACAACGTTTTTCCTGACATTTAGCTTAATGTAATCATGTTGTAAGTTCCGCCAGATGTCCCTTGCTCTGTTCTCTGGGGCCAAGGAGAACAAGTCTAATTGCTCTTCCAAATGATGGACTTTTAATACTTAGAAGCAGTGATTATGTCCCCTCCTAAGTCTTCTTGGGGCAAAACAGCCCCCATTCCCTCCACCAGTCCTCAGACAGCATGATCTTCAGGTGTTTTTGCACAAGCTACCCCTTATACTTAAATGAACTCACCTCTACTTGAAATCCCTCGTTCCCTTCAGAGCTCAGCTCAGGTATCACCTCCTACATGAAGCCTTCCTCGATGTTCCCAGTTACTAGTGCCCTCCAAAATTATTTGTATTTGTGTCTATTTTGTTTGTATACATTGTCATAGAATCCACCTCCCATAGAAAATAAGTTCCCTTAGGGCAGAGATTGTTTTGGTTTTTTGGGTTTTTTTTTTTCATCTTTGTATCCAGAGCCTAAGATTGCCTGGCACATAATAGGTGTGTAATATATGTTTATTAAATTGGTTGATTGGTTAATCTCTAGTTTCCTTACCACTTTGTTCATCTTCCTCTAAACACACAAATTTATTAACATCTTTACTAAAAAAAAATGGCAACCAGTAGGGAAGAGACCAATGTTATCAGAAAATGTCTGAAGATGGTTAAATTATACCCAATTCAGTTCAATTCAACAAGCATTCAGTAAATGCCTACTATGTGCAAGGGACTATGTTAGGTGTTGGGGATACAAAGATGAAAAGTGAAATGGTCCTTGCCCTCAAAGAGCACCTATTCCACTGTGGGTGGGATTGGGGGTGAGGAGGAAACAAGTTGTAAGAGGTAAGTAAAGATAAAGCCATTTGAGGAGGGAGTGGGTACTACCAGGGTGCCAGAGCTAAACCTTGAGGGAAGTTGGGGATTCTGGGGGCAGAGATGAGGTACTCAGTGCATTCTAGGCATGGGGGACAACAGCCTAGAGAGCGGAATAGCTAGCATTCAAGTTTGGCTGAAATGAAGAAAGTATTTTGGGGAATAGAATGAAATAAGTCAGGGAAGGCAAATTGGAGCCAGATCATGGAGGTCTGCAAATGAACAGATGAAGACTCTGAATTTTGTCCTACAGGAAATTGGGAGCCATTGAAGCTCTTGGGGCAAAAAGTAGACATGCACAGACTTAAAATATTTTGGCAGCTGTATAGGGGATGAATTAGAAAAAGGAAGAGGCTGAAAGAAAGAGTGTTTCAATAGCTCAGGCAAAAGGTGGTAAGGTCCTGAACTACAGAGTGATGGCCATGTGAGTGGAAAGGAGAGGAAGGGTGCCATGGATGTTATAGAGGTAAAACCTACAAAACTTGATTGGATAGAGATAAATGTCCAGTTGAATTGTAGGGCCAATAGTCAGATTGCAAGGCATGAGTGGGAGGTAAGGAGGTGGAAGTAACAAGTGTAGATCACTTTTTTCTTGGAGTTTGATTATGGAAGGGAGAAAGTATCATTTTATATAGTGCCTTGAGAAGATGGCAGGGTCGAATGAGGTTTTTTGTTTTGTTTTGTTTTGTTTTTTAAGAATGAAGGAGACATGGGCATGGGTTTGTAGGGAGCATGGAAAGAACCAATAAAAAAAGAAGTTGAAAATGAGAGAAAGAAAGAAAAGGAATGATTGAATCAGTAAGCTTCTGGATGAGAGAAGAGAGAGAATCAAGGGCATAAACAGAGAGGTTGGCATTGACAAGGAGGAGGGTCACCTCTTCAAAGACTGGGACAAAGGAAGAGGAAATGGAAAATGTAGAAAGGTTTTGAGGTGTGAAGTAGAAGAGAAAGATGGATGGATCTTGTTTTCTCAGTAAAATAGGAGGTGAGGTATTCTATCGAAAGGGTAGGAAGAACCAATGGTAGAGAGAACCTTAGTCAAAAAGAAATTTGGAACAGCCACTACAGGGAGTGTGATAATAAGGGGATATTTTTGCTTTTGGATCTTGCCAGACACAATGTTTTGGGTTTTTTTCCCTTTTGTAAAAAAAAAAAAAGTTCTTTTTCATTATGAATATAACAGCCTTCAACAAACATTCCATTATATAAAGAATAAAAAAGAGAATTGTGTGTGAAGCAATGAGCTGTATAATTTTAAAAAGAAAAAAACCCACACATTTACCTAGCACTTGCTATATGCCAGGCACTATGCTAAGCACTCTTTCTGAATATCTTATCTGATCTTCACAGCAACCCTGAAGGGTAGTTGCTATCATTATCCCCATTTTTACAATTGAAAAAGCTGAGGCAAACAGAGATTAAGTGACTTGCCCAGGGTCCCACAACTAGTAAGTGTTTGAGGCTAGATTTGAACTCGGGATTTTGAGCCCATCCCAGCAATCTATCCAGTGCCTAGCTCATTGTCAGAAAGGACAGATTAAATTGAGCAAAGTAGTCATAAAACTATACTGTTTGTGTCCCTTTCTGAACTTCTGTTTGTTCCTTCTGTATAGTTTTATTTTTTGATTTTTTGATTTTTCTCTTTATTTTTAATGTTATTGATAGTATTTTCTTTTTTTTGTGTGTATCTGTCTCTTCCCACTAACTCCTCACCTCCTGAAACCTTCCTTGTAACAAATAAAGTCAAGCAAGACAAGTCAACCTGTTGACTATGTCAGCAAATGTACACATTTCATTTTATATCTTCAGTACAGCTTGCTGAATTTGTCATTTTCTTCTTCTTCTTTTTTTTTTTTTAACCAGACCTGTGATTCCATTGGTATAAATAATTCCCAGTGGGGAAACTCTCTCTGACCATTGCAGATTGGCAGCTGCTTGGTGACTGAGAGTCTCACAGAGTTGCATGAGCACAAAGAGGCCATGCCTAGCCTTTGGTCCCACAGCTTTTATGTGTCAGAAGCTGGACTGAAACCCAGGTCTCTTCTGACTCCAAGGGTTGCTTTCTACCCATAATGCTGCTCTCATTTATATTGGCATGGCAATATTCTATTCCCTTCATGTCAGTCTATCAGTCAACAAGCATTTATTAAATGCCTACTATGGTAGGCACTATGCTAAGCCCTGGGGATACGCAGAAAGGCAAAAGACAGTCCCTGCCCTCAAGGAACTCACAGTCTAATGGAGGAGGCAATGTGCAAACATAAACCAGATAAATTGGAGGTAGTCTGTAGAAAGAAAGCACTATTATTAAGTGGAATTAGGAAGACTTTTTGTAGAAGATGGGATTTTAGCTGGATTTGGGAAGAAGCCAGAGAAGCCAGGAGGTAGAGATGAGGAGGGAGAGTTTATCCATTTTTTGTCCCCACCTTGATTCCAGTTCTTTGCTATTACAAAATAAAGGTGCTGCTACAGATATTCACAGGGATCCTTTCCCTCTGTCTTTGACCCTTTTGGGGAATAGAGGAACCTATGTGGTGTGGTGGATAGAGTGCTGGACTTGGAGTCAGGAAGACCTGAGTTCAAACCCTTCCTCAGACACTAAGTCACTTGACCCTGGGTAAATCACTTGTGCTCTTTTAAGGCTCAGTTTGCTCATCTGTAATATGGAAATAATATACATATTCCCAAAGGGTTTTATAAGTATCAAATGAGGTAACATTTTTAAAGCACTGCATAAATTTTTGCTATTGTTAGTATCATCATATTCTATCTGGCTTGCTGATAGGAGACTGGGAGTGGAGTGGGCTTATTGGATTCCATGCCCGGTCCCATGATCTAATGAGAGTATGGGACCAATTATATGTTTCAGGTCATCCAGCTAAGGAGAGGCTCCTAGAACAGCCCTTCGCCACCACAAAGGAGAAGCTTTTTCTGGCCCAAAATGTAAGAGAAACTGAGTGACCCCAGGACGGATCGAGACTAAATGCAAGCTTCCCCTGGGCTAGATCTTAGCTCATACACGTCATTCTTGTGTGTACAGTAGTATACATGTGGGATTATACTTTTGTGTGTGTGTGTGTGTGTGTATGTGTGTTGATGTGTGCAGTTTGGTGTCTTTACGGACGTATGTTGGAAATACTTCCGTCCATGCTTGTGATCTGTGTTTGCATTTGTACCCGTGTGTAATTATGATTGTGATTATAAGCTCCTTTAGTGCAGAGTTGGATTTGGAGTCAAAGGGCCTGAGTTTTTTATCCCAGCTCCACTACTCACTATCTGATTGAACCTGGGCAAGTCATTTGCCCAAAATAAGGGGGCTGACTAGATGGCTTCTAGGGCCCCTTCCAATTCTAAATATATGATCCAATGAACAGGGTCACACTCTGGGAAGTACTTCCTAAGTATGTACTAAGGATAATAATACAACCTTCACTTCCTTCAAATTTATATAGAGTAGAGTGGCTCAGTGGATAGAGCTCTGGACTTGGAGTCAGGAAAATCTAAGTTCAAATCCAGCCTTACTATCTACACATTTACTATCTGTGTGACCCTGGGAAAGTCTCTGCCTGTTTTCACATCTGTAAAATGGGGATAATGACAGCACCTACCTTCCAGGGTTGTTGTGAAGATCAAATGAGATAGTATTTGTAAAGTGCTTAGCACAGTACCTGGCACATAGTAGGTGCTTAATAAATGCTTGTTTAAAAAAAAAAACCTTCAGAGGTCTTTCTCTGACCAACTCATCTGAGCTGAACAAGAGATTCATGGCTGGAGTAATAGACTATAGGACTGACCATGGGAGAGGGACTAGAAGATGGGAAGAAAAAAAGAAACAACAAGGAATCCAAATCATCCTCATTCATGACACACTGAAATGGTGCCAGTTTTTAGCCCAGACCCACCTCACTTGCACTTCCTTCCACCTTATTCTTTTTTCTTTCTAGGGAGGTGGACTGAGCAATGGGGATCCACAAGAGAAGGAACGGCGCCGTATCAAAGAAAGCTTTGAGAACTATCGTAGGTAAGACTGACCTGGTTCAAAGCGAGAAGGGTACCATGTATTTGGGTTTTTAATGCTCCTAACAAGTTCCCACCTGTATAACCTTGAGCAAATCACTATGCCTTTCTGGGCCTCAGTTTCCCTATCTGTAAATTGAGGGGATTGGGTTATAAATTACCTTATAATTTGCCCCTAGTTGAGTTACCATCAGTCCTTTATTTGTGGTTCAGACTCAATGAATCACAGAGATGTGTTCTTACTCTTGTACCCATTTCTCATTTTCACAGGAAGTGGGCGCACAGAAAGGTTCACCATAGCACCCGGCAGGGAGAAGTAGACTGGGAAAACACCACAGGAAGTGACAACACAGATACGGAGGGCTCCTAAGGCTATATTTGCCTGCTGAACCCAAGGCCCTAAATCCCCCCAGCCAGTTTACTTAACCTCTCTGACAGGCCTAGTCAATCTACCATCACTCATATGGATGGAATTGAACAGGGATGTCAAAGATCAAAAACATCATTTAAGCCTCAAAACCATCTCTGTGTGGTTTAGATTCAGAAGGAAAGTCATGTATTTTGGATTGCTGAACCCAAGGCTTTAAGATCTGAATTAAGATCAACGTAGATTGGCATTAAAATGATTTTGTGGCCATAATGAAGGACGGATATGAAGAATTCTGAGAAAGACAAGAAGACTTATTTAAGCAGTATAGGATAAAGAAGACAGAAGCAAAGAACAATTACAATAACAGTGTGAATAAAGACAACATTAAACAGCAACAAAACGGGTCAAATCCGATGGAAAACAATGGTACCAAATTATTAAAGCTGAAGGAGCCAACCAGCCACCCTTTATGTTAACAAACAGAAAACTGCAAGACATAGAAAGTGATTTGTAAGCCTTTGAAGCCATTTTGCTCAATTATCTGGGGCTCATATACATACAGAGTTTGTTTGTTGGCATATGTGCTGTGTCAAAATAAAAAATAAAAATGTATTAAAAGGAAATGGATTTGTGCTAAAAAAGCAATGAACAGTAAGGGCAACTAGCAAACTGTCTTCCACGGACAGTGTTATAACTAATTTTCTTAATAATCACAAAGCAGATAATTGAAAATTTACTGCAACTTTACTGGTTTGCTTGCAAAAAGATCTGGATGTGCTCTACTGATTTCTTTGCTTATCTGGTTGTAGGGAAATCAATTGTTTATAATAATAATTGGAATTGTGAGACTATAGAAAGTGCACTAAAGTTTGAGCCAGGAGAAAGCTGAGTTTGAATTCTGACTCTTAATGGTTGTGTGACACTAATCAGTCAGTCAACTAGAATTAATTCCTACTATGTGTTAGACTTGGTGCTAAGCGATAGGGATACAAAGAAAGGCAAAAAAAACAGTTCCTGTCCTCAAAGAGCTTACAGTTTACCAGAAGAGACAACATGCAAACAAAGATGTGTAAACGAGATATACAGGATAAATTGAGGGGTAGGGAGTGGGCACTAGAGATTAGGGAAGTAATCCCAGGCAAATTATTTTATGTGTCTGAAACTGTTTCCTCATCTATAAAATGGGGGTAATAATATGTGTACTACCTACTTCATGGGATAATTGGGAGGAAAATGCTTTTTAAATCTTAAAATGTTATATCCATGTGAGTTATGTTTTTTAATGAACTGCTTGAATACTTCAAAAGATTTATCATTACATTGATTTGATTCAACAAACATTTATTAAGCATCTACTCTGTGCCAGGGACTGTGCTGGAAGCTGGGGATACAAAACCAAAAATGAAACAATTCCTGCTTTTGAGAAGTTTACATTCTATGGAGGAGATACAATATATACACAGATAATTAAATATAAGATAGTGAAGTGGATAGAGTGCTGGGCCTGGAGACAGGAAAATTCATCTTCCCGAGTTCAGATCTGGCCTCAGATACTTATTAGGTTTGTGACCCTGCGCAAGTCACTTAATCCTGTTTGCCTCAGTTTCCTCATTTGTAAAATGGGGATAATAGTATCTGCCTCAGAGAGTTGTGAGGATCAAATGAGAAAAGTAAAGTACTTTGCAAACCAAAATACCATCTAGATGCTAGCTATTATTATTAAGAAGTTAAGGTTCCTAAGCCAAAGAGTCACAAGAAGAGAGTTTATTTCAGGCATGCGGATTAGCTTATACCAAAGCATGGAGCAGGAAGTGTGATGCTGTGCAGTATGCAATGATAGGTAGAAGCCAGAGTATGAAGGGCTTTAAATGCCAAACTGAGGATTCTGTATTCTATCTTAGAGGCAAGAGGAAGAATGCAAATTAAAACAACCTTGAGATATCATATTATACCTATCAGATTGGCTAAAATGATAGAAGGGGAAAATGACAGATGTTGGAGGGGATGTGGAAAAATTGGGACCTTAATTCATTGTTGGTGGATCTGTGAGCTGATCCAATCATTTTGGAGATATGGAATTATGCTCAAAGAGTTAAACTGCCTCTACCCTTTGACCCAGCCATAAAACTATTATGTCTGTTTCCCAAGAAGATTAGTGAAAATGGAAAAGAACCCACATGTTCTAAAATATTTATAGCAGCTCTCTTTGTGGTGGCAAAGAAGTGGAAATTGTGGGGATGCCCATCAATTGGGAAATGGTTAAACAAATTGTGGTGTATGTTTATGATGGAATATTACTCTGCTCTAAGAAATGATGAATTCAATGATTTTAGAAAAGCATGGAGACACCTCCACGGAGTAAGGAAGAGCAAAACGAGCAGAACCAAGGGAACGCTGTATAGAGTAACAGCAGTATTGTTTTAAGAACACCTTTGATCAACCAAGTCATTCTGATTATTATAGATACCCAGATTAACCTTAAAGATCCTATGAGGAAAGATGCTGTTTGAATCCAAAAAGGAATATTGTTGTGGTGTAGGAAATGATGACCTGGTTGATTTAGGAAAACATGGAAAGACTTGGACTTATGAAGGAAGATGCTATCCACCTTCAGAGAAACATAGTAAAAAGAAATAAGCACAGTACAGTTTTACATATATGTGTATATTTATGTACATATATGTCTATGTTTATAGATATCTATGTATATGTATATAGATTCATGCTTAATTGTAGCATTCTTCAGGGTGGGGGGAGGAGGAAGGGGGAAAAATAAAGGAAAAAGTACACAGCAGAAGACAAAGGAAAACCAACAAGGAAGCAAAGAAAAGCTGGACAGCTTTGAAAACAATGTGTAGTATTTATTATATAGGTTTTCTTGAAATGGAAATTGTTTTATATTGAATCATCTCTTACAGTCTGCTGTGTATATGGCAATTTTTTTCTTTTCTCACTTTGTATTTAAGTGTAAAATAAAAAAAAAATTTACCAAAAAAAAGAGGCAATAGGGAGCTACTGAAGATTTTTAATCAGGGGGAGTGACATGGTCCTACTTATTATCCTTTAGGAGGATTCTATTGGCAGCTCTGTGGAAGAGGATAAACTGGAAGGAGAAAGACCCATTAGAACACTATAACAATAGAGTTGAGAGGTGACGGGGGCCTGAATTTGGATACTGGCAGTGTACACGAAGGGAAACGGATGGATAGGACATATGGTGTGAAGACATTTTCTCCCTTGGATCCCAGCCCCTCCATGCCTTGGGAAATGGTTCCATAAATTACTGAGGCCATAAAATTCATCACCTCTTGGTCAACCTGTGTATGAGCAGCCGTTGCACCTTGGGAGGACTTTCCAGAGCTTGTACTTTCCTGGTGTAACCCAGGATCACCTCCACAACATAAAGAAGCACAGGAAGAGGCTATTAGGGTAATAATAATAATTACAATCATAATTACAGTAATCACCATCAGTAATACATAGCTTAAGGCAAAGGTTCTTAACCTGGAGTTTGTGAACTTTAAAAAATATTTTGATAAGTATACTTCAATAAAATTAATTTCCTTTGGAATTATTGACATTATTCTGAGGAGTCCATAGGTTTCACTATGGTCTATGACACAAAACGAGGTTGGAAAACTCTTGGCTCAGGGGGTGGAGGGCCAGCCTTATGGCAGGAAGACCTTCGTACAAGTCTTTCTTCTGACACATACTAGCTCTGTCACCATGGGTAAGTTGAGCTAGGGCATTCTCAGAGCCCTAAGCATTCTCTATGGTCTAAATTAAAGATATGTCACCATTCTGCATCAGAGAAGGCAGTTTCTACACAAGAGTTCCTTAAAATGATGCAATAATAAATCCGGTTCAAACAATTATAGTATTAAGAATCCCATTTACAAATCTTATTAAATATCTATGATAGACAAGTAATTGTACTGGGGATATAAAGACAGAAAGGAGGTTATGCTTACTTTCAAAGAGCTTACATTTTACTGGGGAGTTACAGGTATCTGTGTATAAAATAAATACAACAGGCAGATAGGTGACTCAGTGGATAGAGTGCTGGGCCTGGAGTAGACAGGTGTCTATAGGTAATCCATTTTGAGATGTCCAATGCTGTTGTTTAGTCATTCAGTCACATCCAACTCTTGATAACTCCATGGACACCAACACCATCCATGGGATTTTCCTGGTAAAGACACTCCAGTGGTTTGTCATATCCTTCTCCACATAAGGTAAACAGAGGTTAAGTGACTTGCTAGTCATACAGCTAGTGTCTGAGGCCGCATTGGAACTCAGCTTTCCTGACTCCAGGCCTAGGGCTCTATTCACTGAACCACCTAACTAGATGCCCAATAGGCAATTAGAAATATGAGACTGGTGCTCAGGAGAGAGATTAGGGCAGGATAAGTAGTTCTGAGCATCAGCAGCATAGAGATGCTAATTAAATCCTTGGGAGCTGATGAGATCACTAAATAAAATGGTGTAGAGGGAGAAGAGAATGATTAGTAAAAGATCTTGATGTATGGAAATAGGCCATCGGGCACTGACAGAGCATCTGTTTATAAACGTGCCAGGCTTGAAATCCTGCTCTTCTCTCTGCTCCCCAGTGATAAACTCTTCCTACTTAGATATGTATTGGTTTGTGAAATTTTATAATCAGCACCATTTCATTTACAAATGAGCAGCTTTCAGGACCACCCTTTAATAATCAATAAGCTCTTACTATAGTAAGTTCTGGGATGCAAAGATAGAAATTGAACAGTCCCTGCCTGTATACAAATAAGTGTATGCAAAACAAATACAAGTTAATTTTTTGAGGGGGGGAGGTATTAGCATTTGGGGGAGGAGGGAGGTGTCATATCAGGAAAGGCTTCTGGTAGGAAATGACATGAGCAAAGTTTTGAAAGAATTGTGAGAGGGGGAGGTGAGCAGGGGAAGAGACTCAAGGCAAGGAAACCAGTTAGGAGGCTACTGGACCTTGTGTTGAGGACTTAACTAAAGTGGTGGCTGTGTGAGTGAAGAGGTGTCATATGCAACAAATGCTGTGCAGAGAGAATGGAAAGTGAGTGGATGGGGTAGGGGGAGGAAGAGTGAGGAGTCAGGCATGACTCCCAGTTTCTAAACTTGTATAACTGGAAAGATGGTGATGCCCTTGACAAAAGGAGAGAAGTTCAGAAGACAGGTGAACTTTTGGAGAAAGATAATGAATTCTGTTTTGGACAGGTTAAATTTGAGAAATCTATAATTCAAAATGTCCAGTGGTTAGTTAGTTGATATTGTAGGGCTGGAGCTCAGGAGACAGACTAGGGATGGATGTATAGGTCTGGGAGTCATTTGCGTCGAAATGGTTAATTAAACTTATGGGAACTGATGATGTCATCAAGAGGTAGAATATAGAGAAAGAGAAGAACCCAGAACAAAACTCTGAGGTACAAACACAGTTAAGAGGTGAGATATAGAAGACAATCCAGCAAAGGAGACTGAGGAGAAGTGGTCCATCAGATAGAAGAAGTGAGGGAGGAGAATGCAGGAAGGAAAGGTGGTCAACAGTGAAATGATGCAGAGCAGTCAAGAACAAAGAAAATTGAGAAAAAGCATTTAGATTTGACTATTGAGACCATTAGTAACTGGAAAGGACGGTTTCAGAGGAATGGTGAGGCTAGAAAGCAGGTCACAACTTTGTTTATCCATTTACCCTGAACACTTTGGGAAAAGGTACTTTGAATGCTTACAAAAAAAAAAAAAAATGAAGGAATGTGACAGGCTTATGCCCTAATGGAAGAAATGTCTGCACCTTTTCAACCAGCTCCTGAAAGAACTTAACAAATGCTTATTTCAAATAAGAAACAAGTGGAAGGCTTCTGTGAATGAGCAGCTGTTAACCCCAGAACCACATCATGTCAAGTCCTGTCCTGCTTCACTGGGACTCCTGCAGCACTCAGTTTCTTGATGTCCAGTGCTTATTTTCCAGATAGTTAAGGAAGAGTACAAGGTTCCCTGTTACCTCCAGGATCAAACCTAAGCTCTTCTGTTTGGTCTTTAAAGCCCTCCACAACCTTGTTATGGTTTCCCTTGCCATCTTTTTTGAAGATTATTTCTTTGTGCACACTTTTTTTGCTTTTTGGTGAAGCAATCAGGGTTAAGTGACTTGCCCAGGGTCACACAGCTACTAAGTGTCAAGTGTCTGAGGCTAGATTTGAACTCAGGTCCTCCTGATTCCAAGGTTGGAGCTCTATGTACTGCACCACCTAGCTGCCCCTCACACTGTACTCTTGTTGAACAGGCCATCTTACTTCCTCATCCTATGATACTGTCTCCTGGTTCCATGCCTTTCTTTGCACAGCTGTCTTCCATACCTGGGAAGCTACTCCCTCTCCATCTTTTTCTCTCAGAATCGTTGGCTTCCTTCAAGGCTTAGCTCAATTGCCACCTTCTACATGATGCCTTACCTGATGCACCTGACTACTAATGCCTTCCCCTCAAAATTCCCTTGTATCAATTTTGTATCTTACCTAAATATGGACACGTCTCTCCAGCCTTAACTGTATGCTCCTAGAGGGGAGAGACTGTTTTCACTTTGTCTTTGTATCCCCAGTGCCTAGCAAAGTGCCTAGCACATAGTAGGTGCTTGCTATAAATGCTTGTTGTTTGGTTGATAATATGCACCTGAATTGTTGCCTTCCTACAGCCTAGATCTTCCGATGATCCTATGATGCTCTCACCCTATCTGCAGTTGTTAAGCCAGCAGAGTGGACAAATCCCAAACACCTGCCTTCCCTGGGTGGGTGTTGGAGATTCAGACTTCAGAGGGTGTTGTGTCACCTGGAGGGAAATGATAGGTCAGAGAGGTCCTCGTTGGACTTTTCTTCTTGATCAAGGTGTGGTGCTCCGAGGGCAATGACTGAGCAGTGTATCTTTTCTGCTGTGTCTAGATCAGAGTAGGCACTTAAAAACCATCAAAACAAGAGTTGTTACTCCTCTCGAGCAGATCCCAATGCTTCCAGCTCTAAGAGGAAGTCATAACCCCTGTCACAAACTGTCTCATGAATGCTGGTCACAAGAGAGCTATGGGAAGCAAGCTGGAAAGACGATACGCTCTAGAGCTGTAAGGGACCCTAGGAGCGTCTAGTGCAACCTCATTTTATAGATGTGGAAACTGAGGCACAGAGAAGTGGTGGAGTATACCAAAATAAGCTCTGACTCTGGAGTTAGAGGACCCGGGTTCAAAGTCTCATTTCTGATGCTTCCTACCTGTGTGACCTTGGGCAAGTAACCTTACCTCCCTGAGCCTCAGTTCCCTCATTTGTAAAAGGAGAGGGTTGGAATAGCTGGCCTCTGAGGTCCCTCCCAGCTCTAAAGCTATCATCTTATGATCTTTTCTAGTCTATGGTCCTGTCACAGCATTGGAAAGTTTGAATGGAAGCGTTTGATTGATCTCATCAGCCATTTAGCCCAATCCATATATAAAAGAAATCTGCACTATAACACATGTGACAAAGTGATCACCCAGCCTCTGATTCCAAGGGGGAGGGGACCCCACCACCTCCGGAGGGAACGCATTCTACTTCTGGCCAGTTTTAAGTATTAGCAAGTTTTTCCTAACAAGCTGAAATTAGCCACTTTGCAACTTCTACCCATAGTTCCTGGCTCTGCCCTCTGGGGCTTGATAGAAACAAGTCTGTGTCCTCCACAGGGCAGCCCTTCAAATGCATGAAGACTGCTACCAGGTTTGACTCCCCTGCAGTCTACTCTCCTTCAACAAATCCTCTTAAGACAACGGACTCAAAGCCCTTCTCCATCCTGGCTGCTGTCCTCTGGACATTTTCCAGGCTGTCAGTATCCTTAAACTAGAACGCCCAGAACTTTGAAGACTGGAGCTGGACTTTCTGGCCCTTTGCCCCAGGAGGGCGCTGCAGTGAGCCGCTCATGCCGGCAGGGGGCAGAGCAGCTGGAGGTCAGCTCTCCAGGCTGGCGTTGCCATAGGCGACGGCGTTGCCCAACTCCAAGATGGCGGCGGCACGGCTTCGTCTGCCCATGCGGGAGTAGGCGGAAGTATGCAGCGGGCCGCGGCGTGGGGCTGGCGGCTGGCGCGAGCCTCGGTCCCTGGCACTGCTTCTGGCTCTCGTCAGGGATGCATCCGAGACGGCATCGGGAAGAGGCAGCCGTGGCCCGGTCCGACGGGCGGGCTGCGGTGCTGGCGGCGCCCGCTGAGTTCCGGGCCAGACTCGGGGCCCCTGCCTGCCGCTGCGCTGGGCCGGGTACAGGCCTCTCACTACCAGCTGGTCTACACCTGCAAGGTGGGCCCCTGGCCTACAGAGGCGGAGGCTAGGTTTGTGGAGGGGGGCGGTTTCTGGAACCTGAGTGGGGCGGGGCGCGGAACGTTAGGCCGCGGGGCGTTCGAACCTCGTGGACAGCGGAGCGGAAGCGGTGCGGGCGTGAAACTGACGAACCCCCCTCCTCCCCGAAGACCCCCCCTCCCCGCCGCCGCCGCCGAGGGGGCGGGGCCCGGAGCTGCTGCGCCCCCGCCCCCGCCGAGCCGGAGCAGCCTCCGAGAGCCTGGCCTGGGCCTCTGTCTGCGCGCTCTGCCGCGATGGCCTCCAAAGCGCCGTAGGAGTATTAGGGAAATAGCTGTGACCTTCCAGGATTCCCGCGCCGCAGTAGGAGAGCCGCCGACCTAGGCTTAGGGCATTTCCATTTCGTTCTGTTAATAATAGTAGCTAACATTTCTATGTCACTATGTGCCAGGTATTGTACTAAGTGTTTGACAATTATTATCTCATTCTCACAACAACCCTGGAAGGTAGATGCTATTGTTATCCCCATTTTACAGATGAGGAAATTGAGGCAAACAAGTTTAAATGACTTGCCTAGGGTCACACAACTAATAAGGGTCTGAGGTTGGATCTGAACTCAGGTCTTCCCGACTCCACTGCACCATCTAGCTGCCTCTAGGGAAGGGAAGACTTGGGCTAAGGGCTCAGGGAAAAAGGCTCAGTGATAACCCTCATTTCTATCGCTTTAAAGGTATCAAAGTCCTTTGGTCTAGGGGAAGGGAAGAGAGGTATAGGTCTTTAAGTGGGGGGAAGAAGACCTACAGGACCAGGGGATGTAGAGATTGGGGCTTGTGGGGCAGGCCCATGGCTGAATAAGAGGGCCGGGAGATAAGAGGAAGCAGAGAAGTGGGACTGAGAGATTTGGGGAAATAGTTTGGCACAGTGCTTGGCATATAATAGGTGCTTAATAAATGCTTATTTGATTTGACTTGAATATACGGGAAGGTGTAGCTCGGGGCACACGGGATTGAGGGATGAAAGGTGAATAAGAGGGAAGGAATGGGACTCTTTCCCTCCTTGGAACACTTAGCACAATGCTTGGCACATAATATAAATATTAGCTATTATTAGTAGTGGAAGCACAATAAGAATGGGTATTAGGAAGAAAGTAAGAGTGAGTAATGGGGCTAAGGATGTGGAACAGTTAGTGGGGTCCACGGCACAGGTGGAGGTGGGCAAGCCTCTTCTTCCCTCTGATTTTTAGTTTACCCATCTGTAGAATGGAAACAGTACTTGTACCATCTACCTACCAGGTTACTGGGTGGGTGTGGGGGGAGTCTTTGTAAACTTTAAAAGCACTGTAAATGTGAGGTGTTACTATTATTTGTCATGACTAATGGTGGAAGAGCAGGGACAGGCTGTGTGACTGGCCTGCAAGACAGAGATGGGAAGATTAGGGGTGAGGTGAGACAGCACTGGGCAGGAGGGATATGGGTAAGTATAAGGAGGTCTTTGTTGACCTAGGATGCTCATAAAGCATTAGGTGAATTTTGGAAGCACCCTGACCAAGGCATCCAAAGGAGAAGTAATAATAATAAAACTGTTTGAATTTATCTAGTCCTTTACATTTTACATAGCACTTTCATCACAACCCCAGAGGGAGGTAGTGTAAGTATTATACCCATTTTACAGGTGAGGAAATTGAAGCTCAGTTTCAGCAAGGAAATTTTCCCAGGGTCACACAACAGCAGCACCAGATTAGAATCCAGGTCTCAACACCAAGTCCAGTATTGTTTCCACTGACTACATCATGCCCCCTCTCTCTTAGTGCATAGTTCTCCCCGTAGAGGGTAATCGGGCTGAGGCCATGCTGTTTCAGGGGCAGAATGTTGTGGGGATATGTAGTGGGAGTTAGTGATGGTGACCGGTTGACAGTGCTGCTCTCTCCCTCAGGTCTGTTGGATGAGGTCAACTAAAAGGATCTCCAAGCTTGCCTACCATAATGGCGTGGTGATTGTGACATGTCCCAGCTGTCAGAACCATCATGTCATTGCTGACAACCTGGGCTGGTTTTCAGACCTGGATGGGAAGAAGTGAGTGTTCAGTTTTCATGAAAATCGATTAAGTCCCTTTGGGTATAAGTGTTGGAATCAGTCCCAGTGATAATCCAGAAATGAGTTCTTTTTGGTTTTTCAGGAGGAAGCTTGTCACATGGAATCCTGATTCACAGACTCATCAGTAGCCAGAATTCTGATAGCAAAACATTCATGTTTGTGTTAAAAACAGATGCACTTAATAATGATAATAATTGCCATTTCTTTAACCTTTTAAAGGGTTACCAAGTGTTTTCTTCATAGTAATCATGAGAGGTAGGCAGTGCAAGTATTATCCCCATTTTAAAGAAAACTGAGGCTTGACTAGAAAAGTCAAGTGACTTGGCCACAGTTAAACAGCTGGTAAATGGCAGTTCTGGCTGGAACCTGGGTCTCCTGACACCCACTCTAGTATGCTGTCTTCCCCAAATGGAGTGTGAACTTTGTTTATTTCCCCCACAGTAACACCTATACCATTTGAAATACTCAGAAACCAATTAAAATCATTATAAGAAAAAAAAAATTAAGATAACTTGTTATTCCTATTTCAGATTTCTTGCCTTCTCAATGAGGGGCTGGGAAGAGAGTAAAGGAGAGAATTTGGAACTCAAAAAAATTTTTTTAAAGAATTTTTAAAAATGTAATTGGAAAAAAAATAAAATATCAAAGTTTTTCTTTAAAAGAAAAAAAGCTATCTTGTTATTCTGCAGTTGGCCATACAGAGGACCCTCACTATCCAACCACCCAGAAGATGTGTTGTAGGTCCAGACAGCTGTCACTGCCAGGACGGACTCCATGCCAGGGCTCCTTCCACTGATTGGCATTGTGAAAAGCCGGAACTTATTGGTAGACCTGCTCACACGAGGGGCGGATTCCTGGCATGGCTGCTTTCCTGTGGGGTGGCCCCTCTCCCTGAGAGTGTTGTGCCTCTGCCTGCCACCTCCCCCGAGTTTTTCACTTCCTTTGTTAAGCTTCCTGGAAAGCCGACAACTACAGATGATTTGGTTCAATGAGCATCATGTTAAAAAATGAATGTCCTGCCTTTTGAGATTTAAGAGGATGTCAGTAAGTTATACTTTAGTGAGAATTAGTTCAGGCAGCTAGGTTTTCTCTAGGCACTTATTTTTGACAGCTCCACTTAAGGAATGACTGTTTTTGATTAAGGGAAGTAGAGGTGGGGAGGTAGAGAACAAAGCATTGATAAAGTGCCTGTTGTCCCTTATCATCCCTGGGAGGTAGGTGCTATTATTATCCCCATTTTTACAATTGAAGAAACTGAGGCGGATAGCGGTTAAGTAACTTGACAGGGTCACAAAGCTAGTAAGTGTCCGAGGCTGGATTTGAACTCAGGTCTTCCTGACTGCTGGTCCAGCACCCTATCCACTGTGCCATCAAGCGGCCTAAAAAGGTGTTTTGGAATTTGGAGCTCTTTGCCTTTGCTCAAGTTAATCCTATTTTGAGATGGTAAACCTGCATGCTTAAGGCTTCATGGGCACACCAAGGGCCCAGGAGCCTGGATAGAAGGTTCCCTAGTTAGTGAGAGAGGTGTGCGGGAAGAGATGTAGGAGAATATGAAATTAACTTTCCCTATTTGAAAATTTTGCTCAGGGCTAGCCCTGAGCTTAGGAAAGAGTGATTAAATACTTCCATCTTCTCTTCCTTCTGGTACTACATGGCTCCCTGTTTGCAGATCCAGGCATTCAGGGTGTTAATTTGATTTGCTTGTTCATTTAACAAAAACCCTTTTAGCACTTCCTGTATTTGTGCACTCTTGGAGAGAGAGAGGTGGCAAAGCAGGCAGAGACCTGGCAGTTACTGCCTTCTAGAGAGTCAGCAGGAATAGGGTGATGCATTTGCAGCTAGTAGCTGAAGCTTCAATCTTCAGGTGCAGATTTCATGTGTAATTCTAGTTGACCATGAAGGAAAGCTGACAACCACAGCCTCACGTTGGGGTATTTTGCCTTTAGGAACATTGAAGAAATCCTGGCAGCTCGAGGAGAGAAGGTGAGGCATGTGACGGGTGAGGAGATTCTTGAAATTGTTTCAGAGGCTGAGGATGGACCAAAATCTGCTTCGCCCTCCGAGGGGGATAGTGTCTCAGACCCTACAGATGCCACAAGAAAGGACCCAACCTGATTCAGAGGAAATGTTGGCTTTTTTCCATTTTCTCCATTTTATTTTATGCTGGAAAAGAAAGCGATCTTTGCTTGGTGTTGCCTTTGTTTTTATAAACAAAAATTAATCACCTTCAAATTTCAGTGTACAGTGTCAGTTTTGAGATTTCATAAGCCATTTGGATTCAGGTATTAGAACTCTGAGAAAAATCAGAACTCTGGGAATATTCTTAGGCCTTGGGTACCCTCCACACTGGCCTGTATGGGCCCCAGGGTACTCAAGTCATAGACATATGCCTTCTTCACAATAATCAGAATAATGTTGTGATACATTTGTATAGTTCAGGAAATAGCAGCTTGCCAAAAGTGGCTGTGTGGGTGGGAGGCGGTCTGGCCTGACCCCTGTATTTCAGGCAATGGGAGGTTAGTGTGTGTGTAGTGGTCACACATCCAGAGGGAGCTGAGGTCTCAGTCTGAGTGATTTTGTTTAAAACTTCTCTGTCCCCTTTTTTATTTCTTGCATTACCTGTTTCCACCAGTTAAGCCAGGGATTTGGTTTAACAAGTATCCTCGTTCATTGTTATCATCTACCAAAAATAAATAAGCCTTTATTAAGTGCTTATTGTGTGTGAGGCCCAGTGCTAGTGCTGGGGATAGGAACAGAAAAAGTTGACCCCCAATTCTCATTCTCAAAGTGAGACCTCATCAGACATTCTAATTTGGAGAGACCATACCTAAAAGAAAACTCAGGTGCAGGGATGGGAAGAAGTCCCGAGGGAGCTGTACTGGGGCCCATGGCAAGGCCTAAAGACCCTTAGGTTATATCAGCAAGTCAAATTACCATGTAAGTCCTAGAGATTTACAAGCCATAAGGGCAAGGCAGATGGTAAGGCTTGGAGTGCCGTGGAGTAGTCATCCACTATATAATTTTGTTCAGAGCTGCTTTGTGGCATGGAGGTGCCAGGAGGCATCCAAGGACTGGCCCAGGCCAGATGTGAAGATGTGAAGAGGTTCTTCTTCATCCCAGGGATGGCCGGCCAACCAGGGAATGAATGTTTCCAACCACACAGCTCAAAGGTACCATCTACTATGGGGCTATCCCTACTAAAGATGCTGGAAGTAGTAGCAGAATGACAATAATGATAAAGCATTTTGATGCACTGGCCTCCTAATCAGTTAGTGAAGTTGTGAGGATCAAAGGAGACCATCTACAGGGGTGTCCCCAAAGTCTTACTGAAGTTTTGCACTTTTTTAATTGTTTTTCAGTCATGTCTGACTTTTCATGAACCTTTTTGTAGTTTTCTTGGCAAAGATAGTGGATTGCCATTTCCTTCTCCAGCTCATTTTGTAGATGGCGGAAACTGAGGCAAACAGGGTTAAGTGACTTGCCCAGTGTCATGCAGCAAGTACGTATCTGAGGCCAGATTTGAATTTAGGGCTTCCTGATCAGGGCTGGTACACTATTCACTGTACCATTTAGCTGTCCCAGTTTTACACTTATTAAAGCTTACATGTAAATTTTAAGCATATTAAAGCTTGAAACTGAACTACGAGTTTTGGGACACTGGATTAGAAGTGCTTTGCAAACTGTATAATGCCATATAAATGTGAGCCATTGTTTACAAATGAGGAAATTGAGTCTGAACAACAAAGTAGCTTGACCAGATGGGAACATCAACATGAATTTGGAAGCAGACTCAGGGAGGTTGTCCTTCTGGTGGTCATGCTGGTAGTGAGCTTCAGACAGGATTTTGTTGGCGTTTTTCCTCCCTCAAGTCTAATATTAACTGTGCCATGCTCCTGGGTTGAGGGGCTGTGTGTCCCAGGGCAGTGCTCTCCACATGACACAGGGCTGGCTCCCTGTTTTCCCACTCAAGATGCAGCCATATCTTGCTTTAGGAAACTCCATTTGCAACTTACATGTGATTATCACACTTTACAATCAAAAGGTATTTTAGACACTTTTGTGTCATTTGATCCTCATAAAGACCCTATGAAGTGAGCAAGGCAAGGGTCGGTATCCCTTTTCCATAGATGAGGAGACACATTTAGAAGGGTAAAGTGACTCCCCCAGGGTCACCCAATAAATAGCAGAGCCTGGGCTCAAACCCAGATCTAACTTCCAATCCAGGGCTAGTCCAGTACTCTTTCTGCTAGACTATGTAAGTAAACCATCTTCTTGAATGCATCTCTGTCTCCCTGGCTTTACAAGATGCTGAAAATGTATTTATTTCCACAAGTGCCCTGGGACGTGTGCCCTTCAGCATTAATTACCGAGAGCACTCTCCTACAGATTTTCACTCTACTGAAGTCACTGAGCTGGAGAATTAGCAATTTAAATAAACACAGTGGTCCCAGAATGCCTAGGCAATTATTCTTGCCCGGGAATAGGCCTGGGGGAGGGAGGTGTAGTGCCACGGGTGGGAGGCAGAATAATGGTTCTCCATTGTTCTCTGTGTGTTTTGGGGGGAGTTGTACTTGGTATCTATTACCCCCCTGTCCTTCCCTTGGTGAACAACTAGCTATTATTTCCCTCGATGGTAACCTTTAGCCAGATGGGAGGTTTGGGGTAGTGGGGGTAGGAAGTCTATTATCATGTCCTTTGCTCTTTTCTTCCTGAAGCTGAGCAATTCCTATGTCATCAACTGCCAACCTCATGTTTATAGGCGCACGTCAGAGATCATCTAGTTCAACCTTTTAATTGTACAGATGAAAAATTGAGGCCCAGATAAGTAAAATGGTTTGCCCAAGGTCATGCAGGTCACATAGCAGAGATGTGATTTGAACCCAGGACTTCTGACTTAAAATTCAATATTGTTTATTCCTTCTAGCTGTTTTCTAAAGGTCTTGTCTTTCCCAAGTTGATAGATCCAGAAATAGACTCCTCTAGATGAGGTAAAAGAGGTTGGATGGGGCATGTTACTTTGAATCGTGAATGAAAAAAGCATTTATTAAGGCAGGCACCATGCTGAATATTAGGGATACAAATAAAAAAGATGAATAGCCCTTCCCTTCAAGGAGTTTCCATTCTGGTGGGAGAGACAACAGATATAGGGTGAATGGTGGCCAGGAAGGGTGTTTTGTTCTGGGAAGTCACAGGGATAGCGGAGCCATAGAGAAAGCTATTACAAACCCTTTCCAGAAGCAGTGAATAGTGTTAATTTTACTACTCTTCTCTGATCAAGAGATGTAAAGGGGGCAAAGGCATAATGTGAATGGCAGGATAGCCAGAAGGTTGGTGGAATGAAGTATTGTCTGTGGTCTGTGGCTGCCTAGATAGAGTTGGCTTTGTGAGAACTCACCAGTTGAGACAGCATAACTTCAGGTAAGAGTTCCAAGCCTCCATCCCCTATTTTAAAAAAAAAAAAAAAAGGAAAGAAAGAAAAAGAAGCAAATTAGGCCAATTGTCTAATGAGGAAAGCAAATTCGTTTATTAATTCTGGGGATTAGTGTCTCTGTATTTCCTTTTATTATTTGGGACTCTGGGCCATTCCTCCTGCAAATTTTGTTTAACTAATAATCTGTCTTCTGTTAATATTAACCTTGCCTGACCAAAACCTGACTCATGGAATAATAATGTTAAGGGAAGGTCAAGGCCATTTCTCCTAATTGAAAGGTTGTTGAGTTGACCCAAAACCTGTCTCGTGGGGTGTGAAAATGTACTTAAAGCCTTCAACATTCCTTAGTTAAAAAGCCTGGAGAAGAATCTCAGCTATCTCTGACTCCTTGGCCACATGTAAATCTTTCTCTTCAGTCAACCTATTTGTGACCCCTCTAAATGTAGTTTAATCTGTAACCTAACTTAGTTTACCCATAGGGTTTGTTTAATAAAGTGTGTTTCCTTAGGGGATGTGTGAGATTATGACTCTGCTTAACTGTTTGTTCAACTTTTATGACACTGAAGGAAGTATGCTATTATGAATTTATTTTTTCTTTAGATTTTATGGCCTAAAAGGAATGTACAAGACTGCAATATGTAGACAAATTATTCCTCTGTCAATGGCATAATTTTGCCTGTAAGAGACCTTGTCTGAATCCTATTGATTGTTTAGGTTTTCTCTGAGGGCTAAACCTATGCTTGAACATAATAAAACCTAGGTTTTTGTCTCTATCATTTCTGCATGGTAGTAAATATATTTTGGCAGCAGTTACACACCGTATGAACTCAGAGAGGAGATATTTCTCCCACAATAGTCTCATTAATGCTTTCTAATTTCTGTTTGAGCTATCAATTACAGGGTATGGTCTCTGTGTCTCAGGGTAAAACAGCAGCTAAAGGGTGCTTGGCAGGAAGATAGTTGGAGTGGAATAACAAGCTTGCCTATTGACTTTGCCTCAACAACCTTATTCTGGACTTTAGGATCTGGAGTCTGGACATGACCTCACTCTTAATCCTTTACTTGGTTCCATGCCCTCCTTGTCGATCTAGTTATTGAGTCTTAGGATCATGGGATTGGGAGGGGGCAAGTCACTTAACCTCTGTTTGCCTTAATCAACTGGAGGAAAAAAAAATGGCAAACTGCTCCAGTATCTTTGCCAAGAAAACCCCAAATGGGGTCACAGAGTTGGATGTGACTGAAATGACCGAACAACAATATGTTCCTTAAAATACCAGGAGATGACCTATGGTTACCGGGATGGAAAGCACCATAGCTGCTCATACCACTTGGGTGAGAAGGGAGACAATGTCTCTATTTTTTTAAGTGATACTAAGCCTGAACCCATTTATTTTAGACTTGGGCTGTTCTGTTTTAGTTGTCTAGTCAGTACTAAGGTGACAAGGTAATCTTCAGAACCTTGTGTCTTGAGTTACCCCACATAGCTGAGATCTCAAAACTGAATGATCATGGAAGGCTCCAACAGGAGCCAACGATTTAGGAAAGCTTTTGTTTTTGAGGAGGATCTAGAATTTTAGGGGTGGGTAACCAGAGAGCTTGAGGAAATGCCAGCAAATCCAACTCCCTGTGGCTACTTGGTCAGTAGGAAGAATCAACGCTTCTGGTCCTACTCTGGGGTTAACAAGGGGCCAGGATCTCTGAGATCAATCCTTGGTTTCCTCACTACAATATTCATTCAATGCTCCCAAGTTTTCTGGCACTCATACCTCAATTGGGGTATGAACTCCCTGAGATCAGTTACTATCTCACTTTTCTATTTATATATACAGTCCTTAGCCTGGTGGTTAGTACACAGTAAGTTCTTGATAAAAACTTTTTCATTCAAATGAAGCAAACTGGGAATGGGAAGATGCAAGGAACAAATACACCTGTGAGGGTTTGAGGTGAACTGGAGAGAGAGGCCCGAGCTGCAATTCCTAGTTATGGCTCTACTTACATCACAGCCACAGTCAAATATAAATGGACTATAAGCTCTTTGAGGGCAGGTTCATGGCAGGTACTAAACATATGCATATTGAATTGAATAGCTCCACAGGATGTCTCCCATGCCTACGTGGCAGAGAGTCCATGGAGCACGTACTAGAGAAAGTGCAAGCCCACGATTCCTCCCGGGGTCGCTCTAATTCAGTTCTTCACCTTGGGTGCAATTCCCCCTCACGTTTTCCTCTCAGCATCCTTCCTTCAAGGCTCTGCTCACCTGTTCCCTCCTATCGAAGCCTTT